TGATGAGCACCATTAAGTACCACTAACAATAAGTACCGTTGAGCATCATAAATTTAATTTATAAAAATTTAAAATTCTAAAATACTCAACATATAATTATAAATTAGTTAAAAATCTAAATGTAAATTTTTTTTAAATAAAATATTAATTACATTATTTTTCATAAAAATTTAACAATAATTAGATCAAATATCAACCTATTAATTAAAAAATCCTAAATATTTTTTTTTTGTAATTAAAGTCGTCGCCGCCATTAGCCTCTTTGTTGGTGAGACAATCATCACCGTTTCTCCATCCTTGCATTGGTATGTGTGTAATCGAGTATCAATACTGAATTGACTGCACGAATGGCAGCAGGGCTAGAACGACAAAGCACAGGGAAAGAGGAACGGGGGCGACTATCTCGCCCGTAGAAAAGACTAACGGCACCAACGACTTCAATGCAAAGAAAAAATGTTTAGGATTTTTTTTATTTAAGGGTTAGTATTTGATTCAATTATTGTTAAAATATTAGAAAATAATATATTTAATATTTTATTTTAAATAGTTTAGTTATAAAATTTTAACTAATTTATAATTATATATTCAGTCATTTAAAATTTTATAAATAAAATTAATAGTATTCAACGATATTTATCGTTAATAATATTCAACGATATTCGATTATCTTTTTTGATAACATTTGTGCCAGAAAAAATAAAAGTTTTAGTAGAAAACCGAAAGATCTACTTTTTACAACTTGAGTTGGGGAAAAAAAAGATAAAATAAGTGGAAATTTGTGAACGTGACCGCCGACTCAATTTGACTTATAAAACTAAGTGATTTGGAACTGATGAAAATAGTAAAATTTGGATTTATTTTAAGTTCATCATATGATAATTCTGATTAAATCACTTGAATTATTGTCATTGCAGCATATTAATATTATTTCATATCTGTTAACGGTCAGTAAAAGTATATTTAAAAATCATTTGTTAGATTAGTGAAAATTATTAAATTAAAATTGCAGTTTAATATTATGAATATAAAAAATAATATTAAAAGAATTTTATATTTCTATATAATAAAAAATTAATATAATTATTGGATACTGAAATATATCATATAAAAATGCAAATAATAATATAAATATGAGCTAAATTTGTTAAACAAAATTTTATAAGGTAAAATACATAAATGGTCTCTCGATTATACGATATTGCTTTGTTGAGTCTCCTATCTATTAAAAATTATAAAATAGTCCCTCAACTATAGGGCATTGTTTTATCGATTCCTTCAATTATTAAAAGTTATAAAATGTTCACTTGATTATTCATATGTTCCACACTCTTACTTTTCCGTTAAAAAATTGGCGACCGTCTGAGACGGAGGTTAACTTATTGATTGATATATGATAAAATCTGATCTCAAAATTGTTTTAGTTGTATTTTATAGATCGAATGTCCATTTACATTATAGCACTGAGCATGTGCTTGAAACATCATGTTGTCGAGCAAATGCTTGAAAACAAGGACAATATCAGTAGACATCATTAAAATATGATTTTACTATATCTTAGTCAACTTAGACGAGCACAAGTTTTTATACAGAAAAAGATTTTTTTGGAACAAATGAATAATTGGGTGATCATTTTGTAACTTTTAATAGCCGTGGGACTCAACAAGATATTATCTTATAATCAAATTATCATTTTATAACTTTTAATAGTCGGGGATAATTAGTTACTATTTGTGTAATTTACCCTTTTTAATTTATATATTAAATGTGTCAAGTCAACAATTTGTTAAGAGTATAACGACAATTAACCTTTACAGATAACATCTTAATTAAATAAAAATAAAAGTGATTAAATATTTATGTTTTTTAAATTTAATGATAAAAGATATACAAAATTTAAATGAAAATGGTCAATGTTGTAGTTTAGCCTTAATTGATGCACGCCAATTAAATAGGAGGAAAAGAAATTAGATGAAGATTCCCTGGGAAGGTGCTAGGAACTGATTATGGACGGCTGTAGACTTGAGTGGTGCAACCATTGCGCATTGGCCACTGTAAGCGGTGCGTGATATCAATGAAGTCAGCACTTTATTTCCTTTTTGGCGGCCACGCCAACCTTTAACTACCAACCATAAGAAAAATGCCAAACAAAATAACAAAAAATAAAATTAACTCCTGAATTTTCAATATTTTAAAAAACATTGATTAAATCAAAGTAAAATCGTATTAATTTAATCGATTTTCATGTTAATCAAAATTTTATTTTTTTAAGTTTTATTCAAAAATAATAACTTAAGTATTGATAAATTTAAAACAAGTTTATTTTGTTAGATATATTTTACTTTTAATCTTTATTTGTTTTCTTTTTGGAGATTAAAATATAAATATTAAGGTTTAAATAGGTATAAAATATCTCTAACGTCCCATTAAATAATTTTTTATCCATGCTCATTTTTTAAAGTATTTTAACTTAAAATATTTATTTTAGTGAAAAGAACCATATTTTATAGCATTGAAGGTTTGTTGGTTAATCGTTTCCGTCAAATGAATTGACACTTTTATCTTAAAATAAACATTAGGATAAAAATTATAATTTTTTTTTAATTAAATTAACTATTTAGTTAAACATTAAAGATATTTTTTTATCATTATACCTTTTAATTGTCATAAGTCATAGGTGAGATTTGAGCTTAAAATTAAATCAATTCATTAATCAATTTCGAATTGAAATAACTTTTAACAAACATTATTATCATCCGTCAAATGAATTGACACTTTTATCTTAAATAAACATTAGGATAAAAATTATAATTTTTTTAATTAAAAAACTATTTAGTTAAACATTAAGAGATTTTTTTATCATTATACCTTTTAATTGTCATAAGTCATAGGTGAGATTTGAGCTTAAAATTAAATCAATTCATTAATCAATTTCGAATTGAAATAACTTTTAACAAACATTATTATCATTATTTAATTGTTCATTAATTAAACATTTCAGTGTTTGATCAATTAATGAAATTAAATTTTAATTGAATCGATTAATTCAATTTTAATTAATCAATGAATATCCCTAAATTTATTTAATGTTTGGATTATTTGTTTTAAAAATAATTATAATTATGTTGAAAAATATTTTAAAGGAATTATGTATAATTTCTTTTTCGATAAATTTAAAATGTATATAAGACAATGTGTATTTAGAAATTCTTAATCATTTAACAATAAACGAACTTATATAAAAATTAAAGTTAGGTACGTTGTTTCTATCTAGTAATGGATGACTTGATAAGTGTTGAGAGTCTTTATAATATTGAAGATAAATATAAATTTGATTAACTAAGTACCATAAATTAACAAATAAAAAATTGATATTTGAATCTACAGACAGCAGTGGACTTTACAACTGCAGCTTGGGTGTCGTCTTCTTCGTATTTATGATAAATATATGCCAAATTATCATGTGGAAGTAATGGAATATATGATATTAATTGTTTAATTGTTTTTAATTAATTCAACAGTCCTTATCAAGTTTTAATCATTTCATTTTGAAAAATATTTTATTCCAAATACTTTAACTATATATTTTCTAAAACGAATTTATAGTATAAATTAATTAAAGATCTCTTTATATCACAGTAAATAAATTTTCAGAAAATATTTTTCTTATTAGTCGATATTTGATTCAAGTAAAATAAATTAATCAAATATAAAACTAAGTACAAGTCAACGAGAAATATGTTAATCTTTGTAAAACAACTAACTATATTTTTTTAGTAAGATATTTTCTCTACACGTTTATTATTTTCTCTAATTAATTTACGCTGATATAAATAAATTTGAAAAAAAAAATTAACTCACACCGGTATAAATAAACTAATAATTTTTTTTCTTTCAAATATGTGACATATCAAACATGAAAGCTTAAAGAAAAAAATAACTAATTTATACTGATATAAATAAATTAATAGTATTTGTACTGCAAACAATACTAATTAAATTATTATAATATTGTAAAAACAATAGCATTAAATTTTGTATATTAAATAATATTATGTATTATATTTAGTATATATAATGTATAATTTTTGAAAAATTAATCAAATAATAAAAATTAATTTACACAAAATCTTTCAAACACAAAAAAATAAATAGAAAAGTTATTTTCTCAAAAATATAATTCACTTTACAAAATATATATTTTGAAATATATTTTTAACAAAGAAATCGACTTTAAATATCAAGTAGTTGAAAATTATTTAAAATAAAATTGTAAAATATTTTTATTTTTATTATAATTATGTATCATATTTTTTTATAATATTTAGGTATAAGAATTAAAACATATATTTAGAAATTGAACTTGAAATTAATAATTATATATATAATGTTTTTACTATTTAATGTATTACCATTTAAATAGATATATGTTTACATATGGAATGATAAAATTTAGTATTTATAACTAAAAAAAACTTTTTACGGTCAGCTCGTCGTATGATTAACCCAATAGCGCAAAAGGCTATCAACCCAATAATCACATTTTACTCTTCTGGCAAGAGTTCAGTGTGGATTGGGACTGAAAATCGTGAAAAATCTTTGCACGTGTAATAATCCTATTGCCTCAATCGCCGCCAAACCTCATAAGACTTCATGTCAAGCGGGCTTCTAAACTTAACCGTTGGATCAATCTAGGGTTAAAATGGGTGTCCCAGCGCTGTATAAATGATAACGTTTATGCATTCATCCACGTCCAGAAAAAAAAAGGCAAAAGCTTCTATATCCTGACATTAGAGATAGAGCAAAGCTTTCGTGTTTTTCTTTATTTATTTTTCCAAAAAAAGAGAGAGAAAAAAATCTCTGTGGGGAATGCGGAGAGATGAGAGGAGCATCGTTGAGAACGTCTGAGTTTTGTGGTCTTTCAAAACGGTCCATCGGTGGCCGGAATTGTCACCGGAAACACGTTGAAGACGGGTGATCCATTCGTTTCTCATACGCATAAAAGGAAGAAGAAAGACCTTAATCTCATTCTCTGTTTATAATCGTCTGTTTATTTTAAATTATATCTTTCAAGTAATTTCTATAGATCTACCTTATAAAAAATGGCGGAGAAAACTAAAACCGATCAACCGGCTTTTCTCCATGGAAAATACGAGCTTGGTCGAATGCTTGGTCACGGAACCTTCGCGAAAGTCTACCATGCCCGGCATCTTCCGACGGGGAAGAGCGTTGCCATGAAAGTTGTCGGCAAAGAGAAGGTGATTAGAGTCGGGATGATGGAGCAGATTCAGCGGGAGATTTCCGTCATGAAGATGGTGAAACATCCCAACATAGTCGATTTGCATGAAGTAATGGCGAGTAAATCTAAGATTTACTTCGCCATGGAACTCGTCCGAGGCGGCGAACTCTTCTCTAAGATAGTCAAAGGCAGACTCAAGGAAGAAACTGCCAGAGTTTATTTCCAACAACTCATTTCCGCCGTCGATTTCTGCCATAGCCGCGGGGTTTACCACCGTGATTTGAAGCCGGAGAATCTGCTCTTAGATGAAGATGGCAACCTGAAAGTCACTGATTTTGGACTCAGTGCTTTCTCGGAACACTTGAAACTAGATGGGTTATTGTACACAACGTGTGGAACACCTGCTTATGTTGCCCCTGAAGTCATCTCTAAGAAAGGATACGACGGATCTAAAGCGGATATTTGGTCTTGTGGGGTGATTCTTTATGTTCTTCTCGCTGGGTTTTTACCATTTCAAGACGATAACTTGGTGGCAATGTATAGAAAGATTTACAGAGGCGATTTCAAGTGTCCGCCGTGGTTTTCCTCTGAAGCTCGCAGGTTAATCACTAAGCTTTTAGATCCCAATCCAAGTTCACGAATCACTATATCAAGGATCATGGACTCATCTTGGTTCAAAAAATCCATCCCTAGATCTGTTAGAACCAAGGAAGAGCTTGAATTCGAAGCTTTCAATGGCGACAAATCATCAAAGCCCGAGACTTTGAACGCCTTTCACATCATTTCTTTGTCTCAGGGATTCGATTTGTCGCCGTTGTTCGAAGAGAGGAAAAGGGAAGAGAACGAGGAGCTAAGATTCGCTACGACTAGGCCGGCGAGCAGCGTTATATCGAGACTAGAAGAGGTGGCCAAATCGGTGAAGTTCAACGTGAAGAAAAGCGAGTCAAGGGTGAGATTGCAGGGTCAAGAGTGTGGAAGGAAAGGGAAATTAGCGATTGCCGCTGACATATTCGCCGTGACGCCATCGTTTTTGGTGGTGGAAGTTAAAAAAGAAAACGGCGATACACTTGAGTACAACCAGTTTTGCAGTAAAGAGCTCCGACCGGCTCTTAAGGACATCGTCTGGACGTCGCCGCCCGATAACCCGACACCCGCTTGATTTATCTTCATGGGATTTTTTTTTTTTTAAAAAAGAGGACGTCATGTTCTTTAATCAGATCTTTTATCATTTTTCATCATGTATTCGTAGGTCTTGGTTGTTTGTGCTAGGAATTATGTAAAGAATCATTTGACTAAGTTTATTGTTTCTACCCATCTTATTATGCTAATCTTTTCATGTTTGGCGTTAATCATATTTTCAATTTAAATGTGTCAATTTACCTCGTTATTAAAAGAATTGTTGTTCTTAAAGATTATAAATTCGAGTATTAATGATTGTAAGAGTAATTGCGTGTTTACTATAAATTGATTGAGATTATTTAAAATAGATATTATTTTATAATTATTTTTAGCTTAATAAAAAATAATATTATCAATTTAAATTTATTAATAATATTATAAAAATAAATAATTAAATTATATAAAATAAAGTCCTAAATTTCAGCCTACTAGATTAGTTCCAATTCATCTCTTTGAATTAGAGTGATATAATCAATGGTTTCTTATCACATCACTATCCATATAAGCTCTTTTGCATTGCCGTATCCAAATTTACAACTTTTCTAAAGCTAATCAAAGTCGAAAACACTTACCTTGTTCTTAATATGTCCACTCTGGCGACTTTCACCCCACAATTAACTTTATTTGCAAAGTCTAAATAAAATTGTAGACTAAAACATGAAAAATTTCATTCCATTTTGTTTCACGGCATCGATTACGACGGTGTCTCAATTATTATTGTTCCTACGGCTACAATTATTCCACCGAAGATTTGTCTTTTGGCCGCCTTAATTAAAAGTCCCCATCTTTTGTTTCGTCATCTATTTGCTAAGAATCTTCAATCTAATACTATGGGTCCCTTGAAAGCATACAGGTGTTTGGTAGAGAGAGACTAGCCATCGTCATCTTGGAAAATATGCGAAAAAAGCATATAGTACAAGGACCATCTGTGCAATTTCTCCGGTTTTGAGTACTGTCAAATATGAATGGATTCAAATCGACAGTCCTAGATGACCCATACACAAGCAACTTGATTCTCACCACTGCCGAACAATAAAACTCAGCGTGAGTCAGAGCTGTTTATGTGGTCCTCAACTGTTGGGTTTGCCGGTCTGAATCTGGAACAGATAGATCGACTTCTTAACTGGAACGGTTAGTTTGTAGAACGATTCAGCAATCCTGGATTCTGTCAGTTAAGCTCGTGACCCACTTGTCGTATATTGTGGCTCTTTCCTGCATATATATATTCCAACCAAGAGAGGTTGGTTCAACCGGTAAAGTTCCACTTTTCATACCAATACATCTATGGGTTTCAACGCCGTTCATCTCTCCTACTCGTTAACGCTATTCATAATATATAAAGCGAGTACGAATCAAATATCTTTAGTAGATAAAAAAATGATGGTTATTTTTAAAAATTTTGAATTCAAGTATAACATCAAAGATTTGAACGTTCGTTGTCAACTAATTAAAAATCTTTTAAATAAATATTATTTAATGATTAAATCAAACTAATATATATATATATATATAGTGCAAGAAGTGGAGAGTTAAGACCGGAAAGGATTAAATGTAAAATGAAGGAGATCTCGTGACATTTCTCAAAGACGATCTTCTATGTATAAGATTCTAACTATTCATGTTAACTTTTTTAACTTCACAAGTTGGGTTAAAAACGATTAAATGTCTCTTTTTTATATTTATTTTTTAATTATAAATTTTATTTTTTACACAAATTAAGAAAATATTGTTATTATTTTAATTTATCAGAATTTGATCTTTGTAATTAAATAAAACTACGCAATTAATCGGATTGTTAATAAACACAATAACTTAAATTACGAAATTATCTTATATACAGGCAAGTCTATTCATTTTCATGCTACGGAATTTTTTTCTTTTTTTAAACAATTCTTTTTATGAGAATTTCGAACATTAACTTAAACTACCTAGGAATGCCGCGAAATTAGTCTATTCTTTTTCTTTTCATGACACAGAATTATTTTTTTATAAATTTTAAATTTAAATTTAATCTTATCTAAACGGAATTGGAAAGGATTTATTTAAAAAAAAAGGAGAATATTCCAACGAATTTGAAACCTATGATTCCTGCCACGAAATTATCTTATATACAGACAAGTCTGTTCAATTTCATGCCACGGGTCTAATCTATTGTCTAAATAGGTTTCAGATATAATTTAAGTTTAAGGTTTTATATCTTAAAATTGAAAGTTTATAGTTAGGATTTAGAGCTTTAAATTTTTGATATTAAAATAAAATTATGTAAAATATTAACATAACTTATATATTAAATAATAATTCTTTTCAGTTATAATCATACCAGAAAAAGTTACACCAAACAACTCGACTGAGTTTAACTTAGTAATATGTTCAAGTATTCAATAACCTTTAGTAATAGGAATCTGGATAGTATAAACATTATTATAAAAAAAAATAACCAAACAATTGCAATACTGTTGGCTCAGGTTGTAAGGGGAAAATGGCTATTCCATTCCCCTCAACCAAACATGTGTTAATTCACACTTCAAAACTACGTATGAATCATACATGCATAGTAGATATATCTCTTCCATTAACACTGATTCTACCTTCAACTTCTTCATGTCATAATTCCGATTGCTATTCCAACTGCTGTCACTAACTTAATCCAAAAATGAATATAAACATTCTTGTTCCGACTCCCAGAACGCGACACAATGTACTGCATTACCGACATTGGGTTTGGTTTTGTTCTACCCTGTCATTATGAAAAATTCAGCCATAAGGGAAAAGTAGCTTTTGGTTTTCAGTAGTGATGTTACTCCATGCAAAAATCCGGTATCACCTTCACATTCCGAGGATGAATTACTGAGACGCTTCCATGAGGATAGCAAGCTACTCGAATTCATATCGAACGTTTCTTTCTCCATCAAGGATTGTGGGGAACACAGCATTATGATTACAAATAAAACATAAGCCAACGCACCATCAAACTAAATGGGAGCATTGTCTATAAAATCAGAGATAACTTCTGCAACAAGAAAATCATAAAAAATAATTCCATTATATATATAAATGCCCTAGCAAAACCCTAAAAGAAAAATATTTGTCATCATACGAGGCTCATTCATATACAGATATATATAACCTGAATTAGTGTAACTTTGAGAAATATAGTTGATGGAACAGTATCTGGCTACACTGTAACTTTGATTTAACTAAGAAAATTTCATGGAATATTTAGCCATGTTGTTCAAATGCATGTCCACAGCTTTGAAACGTAAATCAGATCAAATTATCAAGGTGATTAATTCACGCTTTTTTCGTAATCGGGCATTTATAATATGGCAATTATAGGTGTTTCTGGTGCAACATGTCTTTAGCCAGATGTGGGGAATGCCTGTTCTTCCGGAGCATCAAAGGAACTATAAGTCTAAAACTAAACAAGAAAAATTGAATGTGAGTTAAAAAGTTACACCATGATCAATGGTCATGTATATATGTTTCTCAAAATTTATTTATTTATTCAAAGAGAAAAGAAAAAGAAATAATTGTTCATCATCCTAAGTCTTATGCAAATATATGTGGCCTCCAAATAATAACATAGACTTCCAATTTTCAGCTTTACCTCTTGTTTGCATGGTTATACAGTCAGAAAAGGAGGATGAAAGTGATTAACACCTACCACATTTGTACATATGAAATAATATGAATTAGGGCAAAATGTTCTCAATGCTAATGCAATTGTTAACTTGTAAAGATCTAAAACGACGATAAGTGTCCATAGGAATATTTTGAATTCACCCAAAATTTCTATCAATTTCTACCATGTATCCCATTCTTAACCTTCCTCTAACATAAAGGATTCCGAATCCCGCTTTTTACTTCTAGTATTAACCAACTGATTTTCGAGTCCATTTATTCAAGATTAGAATCTAATCATCTGACAATGGTTGTCTAAATCTCTATCCGTATTAGCCCCTTTTTTTCATACATTTAAATATAGTTCAACATGTACAAGAGACTAATAAACGACAATACCTAATGATTTGAATCAAACATATAAACTATTGACTTAGATGGTATAGTGAGGGATTCTATCACTGGTAGTTATACTCTAAACGGAACTTTTCATAATCCTTTACATCTTAGTCAATAATTTATGTGGTTGATTCAAATCATTAGTGATTGTTGTTTAGAGAATAACTTTCATCTCACTCTAGCCTCCATGCATGCTGAAACTAAGATATACTAGCACCAAAATAACCTCGAATCAAAGAATCTAAATCTTTTACAAGACATTTTCAATTACTTGAACACATAAGCCTCTTGTTTTAAAATATAATCTTTAAGATATTCATGAATGGCCGAATCAAACGCTCAAGATCTGCTCCAGTATAAAGGGGGATATCTCAAGTTCAAGCCAAAGTCACATTGTATGGTCATAGATTCCCTTAGTTGGAATCACTAGAGTCCTTTGCTTTTTTGTTAGAAGTATGCAGTCATTTCAAATTCAAAGATGTTACTCGATACTATACATGCGATTCATGAATGTAAGCTTAACTGTTATGGGTTGTTTACCATTTATGCGCTAATTGAAGAAAGATTAAACCAAGAAATAGGCTTAAATCCTCGATTCAGACATATGGGATGACCTCTTTGTCTACATTGAAGACCAAACTCTCAAGCAATCACATTAAATTTAAACATCATATATGTGTGTGCGTCAAACAAAAACAAGCTGAAAGGAAATTAAAAATGGTTACCTGGATGATGTAACAAGTGTATAATTGAGACAGTTCGTTGCTTCACAAATCACAATAGCAAACAAAGTAGTTAATATGCGAAGAATTGAAAGACATATTTACTACAAATATGTTAAAGGACCGGATTTTATAGAGAAGCTCTTCCTGAAAAGATGGGGAAGTATGAAATTAAAGCAAAATTCAATTAATGAATGAAACCCTAAATTGCATCTGGAAATTTCCTGCTGCCATACGTTCAACGATGAATGAAGAACAGTGAAGATTTGCAGAAAAATAAGAAGAAATATGACACTCCTATGGCTTTTTGCAATCCCAAGTATAGTTAAAAAGGTTCAGCAGCTAAGACAATAAAATAAAAAATAGAAACAATTATCAGAATTTTAAAAAAGAAAAACCCAGAAATTATCATCTTTTACTTGTTTTCTTGGATTCACATGCGAGGTCAAAATTCAAGCAAACAACAGCAGATACCGTCTTTACGGAAAAACTTTTGAGATAATGTTCTGAAAGAAATTAATTCACGAGCTAATGCACTCCTAAGATTAATTGCTCAAATAGGGTGAAATCTACAGTGTTGGCCGTAGGTCGCTATGCACTCCAGGCGACCTTGTAGGTCGCCATGCACTCCGGACGACCTACCATTATTCAAACAGAGAGAATGAACGTGAGAATGAACGTGTTGCATGGCACATGCACGTCCCAACACATAGGTCGCCATGTCCTTCGGGCAACTTTGTAGATCGCCATGCCCTCCGGACGACCTACCCTCGCTCGGCTTCCCTCGGTTTCCCTCGCATAGCTCGTTCGGTTGCCCTCGGATGCCCTCGCATAGCTCGTTCGGATGACCTCGGTCGGATGACCTCGGATGCTCTCAGATGACCTCGGTCGGATGGCCTCAGTCGGATGGCCTCGGATGCCCAGCGTGTGCGACCTAGTAGGTCGCCCGGAATGCATGACGACCTACGGCCAACAATGTGAATTTTACCTTATTTGAACAATTAATCTTGAGAGTATTTTATCTCGTGAATTAATTTTTTTTCAGAATATTATCAAAAAAAAATTTGCCCCGTCTTTACCGTGCATGGTGTCCATGAATATGTAGAGGGTTTTAAATAAAGTGGAAAATTTGAAGAAACCGAGACGGATTTCCTCTCAGATAGGAACAGTAACCAGGCGTACTATCTTCTAAGAAGTATTTCGTTCTCTCTTCTAAGAGAAAAAGGACCATCAAAAGTCTCGCTTTCTTTCAACGCTTCCGTCAAAGAATTCTGGTTATTTTAATCATTGAAATATTCCCAATAAAACAAGAGTAGTAAAAAAACAGTACTGTTGATATATACATAACGCCAACAAAACATGTATATACCGATCACTTCCTTTCTGAGCTTTTATCTCTTTTCCAACAGCTCACCATGTTAAAAAAAAATTGGGGATTTGAATGTCTAGCTGGTCAAACAAACGAAAGGGCTTCAAAGAAGTAAAATGCTTATATGATTTGTGATGACATGCAGAAGAAGATGAAGAGCTGATGAGGGGAACACAGAGCAAAGAGATGAGGTAGCTGACAAAAGAGAAGTGAGCAACCACAGGAAAAGGAATGCCTTTCGCATACTATTGCCTGCGATTGCTCTCTCTCTTCTGTCAGTCTTTCTTTGTTACTGCATGTCCCTCTTCTTCTTCTTCAGAAGTGATCATCCATTTCTTACCCTCATTCGCTAGATTGCCTTCGGACAAATTGCTAAAGATTCTTTTGAAACCAACTCTCAAAACCTGGGAAAAAAGAGAGAAAAGTATATTAAAATAACTTTTTCAGATAGCTCCTTCTTGAATACATTATATGGAGATCTGAGACTGAAACCATATCTCATTTGCCCGTTTTAGGATGAGATAAAAGGGGAAGAAAGAGTTGGGGTTTTCCGTATAATCCAATGAATCACTCCCACAAGAACCAAAAAGTCTTAATTATATCATGTATTCCATTCAAAACCTTATTTCTTTTTCTTCATAATTTCACTTTAAGTCTTCACTTTCTCTTTAGATTTTCCCCACCCGCTGTATATAGCAATACTACTCACTTTTGTATTTCATTGCGCCTCTACACGCCAAAAAGAGAGATGTAAAGTACACAGACAGAGAATAATACAGTGGTAGTACAATTTTGATTTGAAAACCGTCAAGGTTCCCAATGAACTTTATCCACTAAATCATATGTCCAATCATTACTCGACACGTAATCAAAATGATCTCGCTGTCTACTTTATTTTTTTTTGTCATGCATCATATCTTCATTTTTAAAAATTAATAAAAAATAATGTTAATTTTAAAAATAATCATTTCTATTTGAGAGAAAAAAAATACTATGATCTCTATTTTGTCCAAATAATTGACAATAAAATGATGCTTAATAAAAAATAATTGTTTAAAGTGGTGTTTAAATTTTTTTACGGCCAATTTAGATGTTTAATATTATAAACATTATTATTTTAGGTATCTCGACCTTAACGATCATTAAAAATCTTCATTAAGTGACATATATCATATTCTGATAATTTTGAAAATGTTATTTAAAAAAACCTTAAACATATTATTATTAAAAAAATCTATTTTTTTTAAATTACAAAAAAATCCAAATCCCTAAAAATTCCTAAAATCAACCCTTAAACCTTAACTCAATTTTACCATATACATTTCTGGCCACGACCATCGACGACGATACCGTCATTGCCTTCTCCCTTTATAATCGTCATCACCAATATTGTTTCTCGTGTCATCAAGTCTTGTTCGGGTCGCGAAATGTCACGATTTTTTCTATCATGTCTGTGAATTTAAATCACGATTGGGGTTCTTTGGTGGTTGTTTGTCGGGTGACTAGTTGTTGGTTTGAGGCGTGATTGAGGATAGGTTCGGCTGACGACTGACGTGGATATAAGGATTGAAATTAAAGTTTTCAAAGTTTGGATTTTTTAATATTTGATTTTTTTGAGTTTTTACCAATAAAATAATAATTTTTAATTTTTGAAAAAGATAAAAATCTTAAAACTACTGGAACATGACATGAGTCACTTAACGTAGTTTTTTAACGACTGTCATGGTTGGGCACCTAAAGTGATAACATTTGTAACGTTAGACACCTAAATTGACAGTAAAAATATTTAGACACAACTTTAAGAAAACGGTATAATTTGAATACTTTTTTTACATAGTTTAAAGTGATTGCAAGATATTACTTATATAATATTTTCTTTTAACTATTGGCAATGCTCGCACACCTCATAAATACAATGAATTTAAAACCTCAAGAGAGAACAATATTTCCTTTCAACTACTAAGATATATAAACTTTTTAAAATTACATATTAAGCGCATGAATTATAATTATTTTGTCAATTGTTGAAGAATGTTGGGCATTTTGCCAAGGGGGTCTTGGTCCTCCTGGATTTGAACGGTGGTAACTGAAACAGAAACCAAAGGCAATACCATGCAAGTTGACTTTATCAAGACACGACCGCTATTGCAGCCATTTGAAGGAGATTGTTGCCAGGAAAATCATAGCAATGCAAGAGAAGTATTGGAAGGATGCAATTGTATATTTCTTTCAATTTTACTACCTTTCTTTTTGGAAATGAATATATGGAAAGAAATTAATATTGCTTTACCCATATACATATAGTGTGATTGAGCATAGCAATGTTTAAAGCTTCCTTTTTTGTACTATTTGATGCATTGATTGCTAATGAAATAAAAACTAAAATTTCTAATAAATAAATACTTATAAACATATCGATTTAAATGAGATACTTTAAGCCACTTCAGCATTTTGTATAATCCACGTAAGCATCTGAACAAAAAATGGGTTTTTTCCCAAAACGTAAAAGCATATCAATTGAAAAGAAAAAGTAACATACTTCAGAAACACCAAGCAGTTCAGAGCATTTAGAGAAAAGATAAAACTTTTTGTTGTTTACTATTAAATATCATAAAATGACAAAAAGAACTCAGCAGACATCTACCAAAGTAGAAGTAAACCATCCTCTAATCGCTTAATCCTTGTGCTGCTGAACAACTTCAACAGCCTCGTGTTGCTCACCATAATCCTGCATGAAAGAGATGATAAACCAGGACTATTATAAATACCTATACATGGCTTAACTGTTGACAATATTGCCAGACAATATAACTTATCTAAGGTGAAAATATGACAAACAGAAAAAAATGGTTTGACCAAACAATATTGTGCGAATAAAACAGAATGTATTTCCATGTATATACGTCCATACCTTGACAACTACGCAAGAGCATCCAACTACCTTCCTTGCCTTGCCCTCGGAATCTATCTTGCACAACTGCATCCAGATATGAAGCGCAATTAGCATTCGGAACAGAAGTAATCTCATTCAATTTGGCAGAATAGTTTGTAGTAATATTCACCAATGACCAAAGTGGTCTTGTTGAGCAAGTAAAAGATGAAGGATAGAATTATCTTATGTTGAAATAAAATAGGCAAGGATATTTTACTTACACCAGCCCACTCTCCCAGAGTTTTTGAACTAGGTGCACGTAGCACTTTAACATTATGGTCAGCACAGAGTGCCTTGACCAGTTTAACATAATCTGGCTGGTCACAGTCCTCGGCCAAAACACAAAGATGTGCATTGTGCTTTTCAATTGCCTTGGCAGCTTCGTGTAAACCACGTGCAAGACCACCATGTGCTTGCGACTTCCTAATCACAAGGGGCAAGGCTGAGTTGATGTCCATTGGCTCACCAATGGCAGCTGCAACCTCAGATGGAGCAGCGACTGCAACTTCCTCTCTGCAAATTCATCAGCCAAGAGTACATCATAAATATTTGAAATAATAAAACCAAAATCTAATAATGATGAGATCTCTCAAAAGGAACATATAAAGACATCAGACGGGGGGAAATAATAGGTTTAGAAATTTTGTTGCCAAAATCATGCCTTAATTAGACATGACCTCAAACTGGACACAGGAAATAATTTTTACAACTACACCATGAACAAATAAATGATCCGCCTGATCTAAAATAAAACATTAACTAAGCTTCTTATTTTCCAACAAATCTGGAAGAAAACAAACAACAATTCATACAGCTTAACAAGTAGGCAAATCATCGAAAAATAAAACACAATGCAATCCTTTCAACACACAAAGATACCATAAGCACATTATTCCACACTAAAGCAAATTAAACCCAACGTATATATAGCGAAAATGCAAGAAGCTTGAAGTGATACGATGTATGGAGGCGTTAAAGCAAACCCAGACGTAAATCTAAACGAAACGAATATAATATTCATTTAGAGAAATAAATCTAATATTCAATTAACATGGTCCTGAACATTTATATATGAAGAAGATGACACATACCCGGACATTTTTGGGCTGAAATTGGGATCGAAGCTTTAGCTTTCCGGTAAAAGGAAAAACAGAACCGAAAGAAATGCAACTTCGAAGGCCTATTTAGCTAATATAACGCTGAAAACTACAAAACAAATGTTTCGTTCATCAGAAACATTAAATCAACGGAAGAAAAACAATAGAATAAATTGGTATGAAGAGGATTAATACCCGAGAGAAGATGCTAACCTTAAGAGCGATAAAAATGAAGAGCGGCGATATCTATTCTTCTTCGGCTGGGTGGAGGAGGAATATCGAGGGTTCTACTGAAGTCGAGAAATTTATAACGCAACCCTATTTTCTAAATCTATGATGGGCCGTGGGCTGATTTTCTCATCGCTCCTCTTTGGACAGGAGTAGCCTTTTGTTGTTTTTGTCAGCCACGACCAATTCATTACTTTATTTTTAAGTTTTATTCACAATTTAACCTCCTAAATTATATCCATTTTAATAATTTGGTATTTCTTTTATCATTTTGATAATTAAATTATAATTTTAACCTAATTTAATTAAAATAATATTAATTTATAATAACACATCATGATATTATACATTTTTTATATTATAAATAATATCAAGTATTTTATTCTTATTGAACCTTTACAATTTTATCGTCTCGAAAATTCTAAATAGCTGTTGGATAAACTTAAGTGAACTGAGATAGTAAAGTGAGTAAAACAAGTTTCGAAGGGGAAAAAAGTATAATTCACGAGAGAAACGTGGATTAAACCTTATTTTTTCAAGGTATGATTTACATGGTAAATTCAAGTTTGCCTTATAGAGATTAAAAATAGCTTCAGTCATCTAAAAACATATGTTATGGATATTTCTTCTGTTTCCTTAATATCGTAAGCTTTAACTTCGTTTAAGAATCAGAAAATTACAGGAATTGGTAAAGGATTACTTTGCAATCGTATAAGCTAAGTGATATTTCGGCATTTGGGTCGTATAATCTAAGCCAAAACGGAATAAAAAACAAAGAAAATAAACCCAATATTGTAGGTCGTGACTATGGGAAAGAATCGGGCTAACCCCTTTCAGTGACAGACTTTGTTGAGCAAAGCTTACTGCACCCAATTTTACTAATTATTATTGAAATAAGAGAGGATGTATAGGGGTGACAAATCAAAATATACAGACTTTGCAAGTACAACAAAATACAGCACTTCGTTCCCTCATGAGAAGGTGAGAAATGAAAACAAAAACCATGCTGCCAATGATTCTACGTGTACATACCCTATACCACTGTATCATACATACAAATTGCACCAACTCTTCATTTTTTCTTAGTACTTGTCCGAGAAATATCCGGACATATGCACGGGGATGCACGAGAAAGCTTTAAAATAATAGAACATGTAAGCGCCAGATGCATCTACCACCTTGAATACGAGTAACATAGCAATTAACATGCGACGAAAGCTATAGCATCAATGAACATAAATGGAGAAGATTGATTGCAAACTGACATGATAAACAACGTAACAGAATCATTCATCCAACTACAGCACCATCAATTGATCTTTGAACTCGAATATTCCATCAGAGGATTCATCCAACTTGATATACTAACCAAGATGCAAAGCAGGATTCATCCAACTTCATGACTCTACTAGCAGATATTATTTATAGGAACATGACTCAAATTTGCAAACAGCATAATTTAAAGATAACATTGTTTGAAAATCCACCACAACAAATTAATAAAGCATATTAATAGTCATTCACTATTGAAATTACATATTTACCAGATTTCTAGGTTTAAACAAGTACAACTCAATTCTGCTTCAGAAAATAAGGAAAGTGCAATTCAAATCTGATTCAGTAAAGAAGTGATGATGTAATGTGGGCCACAAGTTGTTTAGCCTTATTTCTTTTGATTACTGTTGTTTTTCTTCTTACCCACATCACACCTTGCGATGAATCAATCTCATCTCATCAATTTCGACCGAGTGGGAGTGATCTACACATATAAGTTTCCTTAAAATCTGTCTTCTTCGAAGAAGTAAATATGGAAGCATAAACTTCCTTGGTAGCATTTGCCGGTGCCACATCCAAGGCTCTAAACTTCTTCACCCCACCATTACTCAATTTCTTTCCATTGTCAAGTTTTCCATTCCCTTCCAATTTACCACAATCCTTCCCATCCACAACATCAATACCCCTTTTCTTCTTCTTCTCCATGGTGGTTTTAGCTTTCTCTTCCTCCATCCTCTCCCTCAATGCCACCACCTCCTCCTCACTTCCATTAATCACCATCTTATCAGACTCCACAAACTCCTCGTGACAAACCAAACAAGCTGATGACTTAACCTCCTTCAAAGCCTTAGCACTAACAATATGACCACAATTCTTCAACGCAAAAAACTTATACTTCCCATTGAATTCAAGCCCTGTTATCGGGCACTGAAACTTGGCACCATCAACTGCATCTGATTTCTCCCCGGGAATCATCGACAACTTAATATTAATCATATCTTTCAAACCCTTTATATGCCTAAACTCTTTGGGCAATTTCTTACCCAACATCGCTTCAACAAGTGCTTCCTTATTGAAAATATTCCCTAATTTATCAATCACGCAAGGTTCTCTCAAAGGTTCATAAGATAAGGCACAATTGAGCCACTTACCAAGCCTTTTCTCATTAAGATCGATTTTATCGGGCTTCTTTTCCGCGTACATCTTAAGATAACAGTCGCGGGACTCGGCTCCAGTGGCGCCGCCATCGCCTCCGCCTCCAGAGATGCGGGGGAGAAGAGAAAGGGTGGAAAGATGGGTAATTTCAGGATTCGGGAGAAGGGTGGAATCCGAGAGGGGTTTTCCATTGAGGGCAAAGTAGAAGGAGGAGATGGATTGCGGATTCGGAAGGAGAGAGGATTTGAGGTGGCGAAGGGTCAGGGTTTGTGTGGATTCTAGGTTTACAGTTAGGGTTCGGTGAGTCGGGGATCGGACAAAAATCTGTAGCTGCATTTTTAGGGGAATTTTTTTTTTGGGGGGAGGGGGGGGAACAGGGATCGATTAGTGAAATTTATCAGGAACTTGGAATTATAGGCTTATAGCTATGATGGCGGTGGCGAAAACGGCGGTGGATCAGTGTTTTGTGATTTTCACAGTAGGAATTAATTAAAGAAATAAAAAGGACATATAGATGATAGAAGGATGCTTGAAAGAGGAATTAACCCAGCTTTAGGCCCAATATTGAAAAACATGGCCAAGGCCTAAGATTAACCCCAACAAATATTTAAAAAAAGGTAAAATACATCATAAGTCACTTAATTATTAATAAGATCATAAATAGATAGTTTAATTTTAAGTTATATACATATTATTCAATTAATCGTTTATAACGAATAAATCACTCTCATGTTAAAAATAAAACAATGATTAAAGTTTTAATTATTATAAAATTATTTAATTATTGAATATAACAGTTATGTTACCATGTTTTGATCATTATAATCAAATCCTTTAAATATAACTGAAATATAGCATATATTATATATTTAATAATGTAATGACTTATTATAATAATCAATTAATTGAATAATCTATTTATATTTTTTAAATTTAACGAGTATTCATAAGATTATAATAATGTGATGACTTCGATATATTTTATCAAAAATATTCATCATCTCAAATTTCATTATACATTTATCAAATTAGTAATGTGTGTTACCAAACGACTGCAATGATAAAATAAAGTGTTGCTTTGTTTAGAGGTAGCGAGTTTGAGTAACACCTGTTCATAATTATTTTTAACTAGTGACAATACAACGCCCTTCAGACGTGATTGTTCAAATCTAATATTTCTAGAGAGAATAAAATTTTCTTTAACCATAAAGGTAACTTGATGAATTTAATTAAAAGAATATTTTACATAAATATTTTCTTATAATTATCATCTACTATTTTTAAAAAAAATTACAATACTTACTTCTATTACAAAAGGAAGCATATGAAATAAGATATCATGTATTATATTTGAAAAAATATTTAATAAATATGTATATTTAAATAATACTGACAAATGGATCAAAAGAGATGAATGAAACAATAACTCTTTTAAAAATGTTAAATTATTATTTATTTTAAAATTCTAAACCTAGACTTGATAACCTTTATGAAAAAGCCAACACTGGAATTTAGAGAAATAGTAAAAAAAAAAAGAACTCATGGAAATATGTACTATAAATGGCTTTATGCCATTGAATAAAGCAGAAGGAAGAAATCACGCCAACATTATCAATCGAAACTCTTTCCATAGAGTCTCTCGTTTGCCTTTCTATCTTTGTTTGTTAAAGGAATTCCGATGGAAGAGGACGATGAGTTTGGAGATCTTTACACGGACGTTCTCAGGCCATTCTCATCAACAACCGAAGCAACGTCGTCCGCATCCGTTGCTCCTCAGCCACAACAGCCTTCTCCCGCAGCCACACATCTCCACCGTACGATTGATCTTAACCTTCAATCTCAAGACGACTGTAATACCCTCTTCGGAGCTTCACCTGTAATCCACTCCGGCCAAACCCTACACCCATTTAAATCAATTCCTCCTCCAGCTGCCCCTGATGCTGCAGCTCCGGATTCGATCGCTTCCACAGAGTCAGCTCCCGAACCGATGGTTATGGATTCTAAAAAAGAACTGGCACATGAAAAAGAGGTTGAATTTGATTTTGAAGAGGGGGCTAGTAATGGAATTGGGGATATCGGCTCAAATGATCCGTTAATCCCGGGTTTAACCGAAGTGATTTGCCAGGAAGACTACGATAAAGGAATTCAAGGCAGCCAGGCGGAGGCCGATGGAGAAAGGGATGATTGGGATAGTGACAGCGAAGATGATCTACAGATAGTATTAAACGACAACCACCACGGACCGATGGCTATGGAAACAGTAGGAATGATGGGCGAAGATGAAGACGACGAAGAAGATGGGGACCCGCTTGTGATACTGGCTGATGGAGATGCAAACCAAGGGGCTGGGGAGCAAGAATGGGGAGAAGGAGGGCAGGCGGCGGATGTGGAGAAGAAAGAAGGCGGAGAAGCAGGGAAGGCTACCGGCGGGAGTGGAGGAATTGTCCTTGCACCGAAAATTGGTTACAGCAGTCATGGGTACCATCCGTTTAAGGTCAGTGTGTTAACATGTTGATGCTGGTGTTCTTGTTAAACAAATTGGAAACAATTAGTAAAGGAAAGGGGTTTTTGTTTGTCATATGCCCCGACTGTTTGATGAAACATTAGGATTAATTTAGTATAGTTATTGGTTTGTAAAGTTGTACAGATTGAAATGATAAATAATAGTCAGAAGATTTGACTGTTGATTACATTGTGACTTTTTATGTTTCAATATCATATATTAATAATGGAGATTGTAATGTTCAATCAGAAACCATTATGCTTATCAATGATATCTACCATCCAGTCTGTTTGGCTAGCCTTTGGCTTTGCTCGTGGCAGGCTCAGAAGCACTTCCACTGATATTAATAGGAGAACGTTTCTGCTTCACTCCGAATCTCGCTTACTTCAAAGGGATTCAAACATTTTTCATGTATTGTCGGCTGATGCAGTACTAAGTTGTAAGTTGTAAGAAAGGGCTCTTTAATTAATCTTCCTTCTGATCCTAAGCTTGAATTAAACAACTCCTTAAAAAAACAGAAAAAAGAAGAAGAAATTTCCGTCATAAGTTTTAATCTCTGAATTTTATGGAGCACATTATTTAATGGTCTCAATAGTAAAACCTTTGTAGACGAGGTACACAAATACAACCACAGTTAATGCATTTTCAGATATAATGTGTGAAGATTACTGTCTCCTACATCTATAGGAGCTTTTGAAGATGAAAATTTATGTTCAGAATTTTTTATTTATCTGTGTCAAGTAATCTGTGTTCAAGAGCAACTCCAGATATTTATGCAAAGAAAAACTGCAAACAGCCTACCAATGAAAGAGATGAACCTTTAGCCGGTAACATTGTTCTCAGCAAATTGAACGCAAAATGTTTTCTGTTTCTTGAAATGCAAGTTCAAGTCAACTGCTCAATTTTGCTGAAACTACACTTGTCTTACCTGTTTGAAACCATTTTCAAACAGCAGTGGATTTGATTTAACCCAAACCTTGACATTTTGTTATAGAGTTTAAGTTACTTCCAGTTCCAGCTTGAGATTTGTTATTGTAATCGCCATCTTGGTTGCTCTTAAATTCTGCTGCAACCTTGTTAATTATATTATAAGCTGTTCATGTGCCATTTATTCCTTGTTTTGGCTTATTATATCGTTAGCTTTATGTTACAATCAGTGTGTCGTTTGATATCCTTGTTTCTTGATGTGTATACTATAAAGTGCATTTCTTGTTTGGCTAAAGAAATTTTGATTTGGCTGTTTCATTAACTTAGAATGAACCTTAATCTTGAATGTGTTGTCGAGGTTCTGATTGACTGTCTGCTGTAAACTTTTATAGAGGAAAAAAATTCATTGCTGGATGATCATCCCATTTCTTTTATTCCGGTCTTATGGCCGCTTGTTCACTTTGGTTTCTGATTAATGCTGTGATCTATTTTCTGCTACATGGCAGTATGTAAGACCTGGTGCAGCACCAATGCCTGGAGCCACTGCAGGCGGTTCTGGAGGAGCCCCAGGTCAGGTTTCTCCAATGATGGGTGCCATGGCTGGTCGTGGTAGAGGTGATTGGAGACCATCTGGAATGAAAGCTGGTCTTCCTATGCCAAAAGGTTTCCATCCTAATTTTGGAGCATCTGGCTGGGGTAACAACATGGTGGGACGAGGTTTTGGTGGCGGGCTGGATTTCACGCTTCCTTCTCACAAGTAATTGCTTAATTTTCTATATTTATGTTATTATTCAATGGTAGTTGATGGTGTTAATTTTGATCTTATTATAATAAATGATTTTATTTTGGCTTTTAGAAGCTTATAGTGCAGAGAAAATTTACTTGTTCTAAAGTGCCTTTGGCTTCTGTAATGCTTGTTATATATATGTTTTTTCTAATATCATGTTCAAATCTCTTAGTTTCACTGTTTTTCTGCCCAACTGATTTTTTTACTGATCCTATGTGGTTTCAGGACTATATTCGAAGTCGACATTGACAGTTTTGAGGAAAAGCCATGGAAATATCCTGGTGTTGATCTCTCCGACTTCTTCAACTTTGGTCTAAACGAGGACAGCTGGAAAGATTATTGCAAACAACTGGTAATTATTCATTTTTGATGACTCCTTTCATTACTGAGGGAACTAAGGTCTAAGTGGTTGGACTGTAATATATTTTAGGAACAACGCCGCCTGGAGACAACCATGCAAAGCAAAATTCGAGTTTATGAAAGCGGGAGAACAGAGCAGGTAATTTGGTGTTTATTTATATCTGGAAAATGTTTCCTTTTAATAGTAAAATATTTGGATTGGAGGCTTGACTTCTGCAGCTCTGCTATTGCTATTGAGGGCATTACTTTCTTGGTTTCTTCTAGGATTATGATCCAGATTTGCCTCCAGAATTGGCAGCAGCAACTGGGCAAGTGGTTCCAGCTGGTGCTTCTAATATTGTAAACTCAAATGGGGGACAAAATGACATGACAAAAGTAGCTGCTCAAATGCGGCCACCACTAGTAAGCTTCATTTTTTGGTTTTACATTGCACGCATTATAAATTATAAAAGCAATCCTTTTAGATGTTGTAGATACTTTAATCATACTTATATTTTCCCGTTTACCATGATTAGGTGTCCAATATCAACCAAGTATTTATCGTGTGTAATGAATAATTTGATGCATTCTAGACATGTTGCACAATTTCTTTATATCTATTCAATACCTTTTTTTTAACTGTGCCAGCCAACTGGAAGACCGATACAAGTGGAGGGAGGTTCTGGGGAACGCCTCCCTTCCTTTGATACTCGGCCACCTCGTATCCGTGATTCAGATGCAATCATTGAGGTTAGCTGTCAAACCTTGTGTCAATTGCACTTAGCCAAGTCTTATTTAGTATATATATGCTGCTTATGCAAAATTATTTTACTCTCAATTGTGTAAACAGATTGTCTGTCAGGATTCTCTAGACGATTCCTCCACTGGCAATGGTGTTGAAGACCGGACAGAAAATGATCTGCCAGTAGAGGATCTTAGAGGAGATGTTGCGTCTGAAGCTGAGATTGTACGCAAAGATACTGAATATTTTAATGGTTTTCCAGATGCTAGTAAAAATCGAAAGGAGCTAGTTGGAAGGACTGTGAATTTTGTTCATAATGTGCGTGAAGACAATGAGGCTTTCCCTTTCCCTGTGGACGCATCACGTCCATATGGTCCTGGATCCAGGGGTCAGGGTCCTATGGATCCTAGTGAAAACTCAGGCAGCCTGCATGACGAGAGGTATGAAAATGAAACTTTAATTAATTTATTGCCATTTCTTTTGGATAAGGTTTTTAATATTATTTAACATCAATATTGTTGCTTTCTTTTCATTTCTGATTTAATTGTTCTAATGTTATTAATCCTCTCCTTAACACAGGAGTCGACAGGGAAGAGCACATAAGAAGTCTCCATGCATGACACCTATTCATGGTAGATGGGATCATGTCCATGATGCCGATGAGGAAGAATCTATTGAAAGCATGGATGATAAATCTCCTCTTGTAGTTAGAGATCCCAGGGAGTTAAGGGTGGAGGCAAAGAATGATGTTGATGAAGAACTTGAGCCAGCTGATGGAAGCCCTGGTACAGAAAAGGATGAGCTAATAAATGGCACCCATAAAGATGAGAGTTCACTTAAACCCATGAAAACTGAAAAAATAAGATCTGAAGTAGAGCATCGGAAGCTTCGAGAACTTGACAATGATGAGGATACTAGGGCTGCAAGAAGTAGTGAAAACAGCAAAGCAAGATCCGGCAGCAGCAGAGATTATCAGAAGTGGCAAGATGGTTCTGAGGAAGTTGTTCAAGGTGAACATTCTTCTCGCATTGGGATTGTCAAGAAGCATCTTGATGGACATGATCAAATTCGGAGAAAAGAATGTGACGGGGGACACGAGGTTGAAATAAATCGCATGGAAGGTAAACCAGGAGAGGATTCTTATCCTCTCAGAGACTTTGACGCTAGCTTGTCACGGAATATGCATGTTAAAACAGAAGGTTCCATTAGGCGAAGGGAGAGTGACAACCCTGATGGTACTTGTCGGTGGAGAGAAGATGATTTGAATGGCAGGACAAATAGAACTGAGGACTTAAGGAAGAGAGATCGTGATATTGAAATGGGTTATAGGAACAGGGCTAAGGCTCGAGAAAGTGAGAGGAGTGACAAAGATGATTATCCACCTAGAAAACAATTGGACAATGGCAGTTATAAGGATGTCAGTGCAAGACATAGGGAAAGAGATGATAATTTGAAGAGTAGGCATGAAGCAGCTGATGATTACCACAGCAAAAGAAGGAAAGATGAAGAATATCTGAAGAGGGACCATGCAGACAAAGAGGACATCCTGCATGGACGTAGAGAATCCAGCAGCAGTCGCAGGAAACGAGAAAGGGATGAAACCTTAGATCCGCGTGAGATAGATGAGCAACTAAGAATAAGAGATAATTTTGATGAACATCAGTCAGCTCGGCACAAGGATGAGGTTTGGTTGTACAGAGAAAGGGTTGAGAGGCAGCGGGAGAGGGATGAATCGCATAGGCTAAAGCAATCCCATGATGGAAGTTTATCAAAACGGGAGAGAGAAGAAGTACGAGGTACTGTGAGGAGTGGCCGTGGTTTGGAAGACAAAGCTTGGGTTGGCCATACCAAGGGAAAGGATCAATATAAAGTTTCTGAAAAAGAATACCAACTCAAAGAGACAGTACAGCACAGTGAACAAGTAAAGAGAAGGGATTGGAATGATGATGAAAAAAGCCAAAGAGGGCGTGAAGATTTGTATGCTCGTGGACACCAATTTAGTAATTATGAGAGAAAATCCAGGCAGGAAAGGTCAAGCACTCAGAGTGACCATGCTGCCAATGCTTCAGATAGCCAAAAGGGGTATGAGAAGAAACATAAAGAAAACACTAGGAGGAATAGCCAAAAGGAGAATCCAATCACTTTGAGTTCTTCCAGGAAAAGCCAAAAAGATTTAAGTGGTCACAACAATGAAACGGTATGTTTTGTAGACTCGAGGACATAATGTTTCTTTAGTAGTAGGAAGAAAAACTCTACGGCATTTTCAGGAAATGTGCATATATATAAGGATAAATCTTCTGTCGAAAGATGGTGCAGTTTCTTCATAGAGATTCTGGATTTAATTACTCTTATCATTGTTGTTTTTGAAACATCTTTTAATCAATATCTGTTAAGAATTTGGACTGTGTCTCGGTACCAGCACAATTTTCATGTCCCAGTTATTTCTGTTAGATTGAGAGTAATTTTATTCCTCAGTAAATCTTTAAGTCTATAGACAAAAATACTCGTATTTCTACTTTCATATTAACATGCAAAGGTTGTACTTCTGAAAGAAAATGATTAGTTCATCGATAAAAATTGTTATTATTGGTATTATTATTACTCTTTGCCTTGCCTAGGGCTTGAAAAGTGATGAGAAGAACCCAATACAGCATAACTCTTTGAGAAAACGTAGAGAAGATGCTTCCTCAGATGATGAACAGAAAGAGTCAAAACGAGGGCGTTCCAAATTGGAACGTTGGACAAGCCATACTGAGAGGGATTATAGTATCAACAGCAAGTCATCAGCTTCCTTGAATCTCAAGGAGATTGAGAAGATTAATAATGTGGTATCTTCTGAATCTAACAAAATTGCAGAGGAACCTAGTAAGTCGGTTCAGCTTGCTGAGAACCACTATCCTTCTCTGTCTGACAAAAAAAATGTTAGTGAGCCAGAGATCAAGGATGCTGATACAAGACCATTGGAGGATCAACACCTTGTGACTGTCGAGAAACTGAAGAAGCGAAGTGAGAGGTTCAAACTTTCAATGCCCAAGGAAAAAGATGCTGCGGAAATAAAGATGGAGAGCGAGATACAACCTTCAGTCAAGAATGGTGGAACCCCTGTAGATTCAGAGATTAAACATGAGAGACCTGCTCGAAAACGAAGGTGGGTCAGCAACTGATAGTGGAATAAGCAACCTACATTTTTGCTACGTGCGGTATACTTTGAAGTGGCCACTATATGGTTCCCAGGATGAGGATTTAACACAGTTACTTTCATACTTTGTATGCTATTGTAACAATGCTGCTGCCAAGTACTTTTTTTTAATCTTTCCAAAAGTGTGTATACATACACCAGAGAATGTAACATTAAACTAGTCGAAAATGGTGCCACATATTCTATTTAGAGTCGAATTGAGATGTGTGCTGTTCATCTGGATTATCTACGGTGTGATGAGGGTCACACCTGAGGAAGTATTCGACTGTATAAAGTTGGCAGCATCATGAATGAGCAACTTGTTCTGATGCTCATAACTTTTAATTCTGATAGCTTTGAAGTTTGAATAAAAAGCCTGGTGCTAACCATTGAGGAGAAAGAAGAGACTTTGCATTTGCAGTGGCTGGAGAAGATACATGAAGGTTTTGGCATGGATGAAAGGTTGGTACATTTATTTGTATTAGTATTACCAGCTTAACTAAATTATATTAAATTTCTCACCGTTCATTGTTTTTCTTACATTTCTTAAAATGTGCTCTTTGTTTCTTAAACTGCTACTGTTTCATGTTCTGTTGTCAGAAAAATGACAGGAAAAGTGCAAAACAGAAACGTAAAACACGTTCTTTCTATTTCCATTCATGTGCTCGCAAAAGAACACCTAGCACAATTAGATGATGCCGAAGTTCCATTAAACGACTATTAAAAATGCACAAACAGAAGATGGTCTAGGTCAGAGACGAACACATAATTTTATATTAAAAGCGAATTTATAAAATTTTAGGGGTGAATTTATGAAAATTTAAAGGATGAAAACATATTATCAATAAAAAGTACAAAGAAAATATTTAAATTATATAAAAATTTTAAGGGGTGATCATTTCCGTCTGCCCCTCTCGGTCCATCCCTGGTTTGGGCAAGGAAACAAAGGAATGGTGCTCGGTGTGGACATGGAATGGAGAGCTTCATTAGCCAATATTCAACCAGATATTGGCAAGTCTTCAAATGACCACCTTTAAATTCTGGATTTTCTTTCTCTCTTAAAATTCAACTTGGTAATAATCAGAACGCTGGATAGTTTCTTCACTTGTTACGGTATTCAACGACTTTGATTATTCTTCAACAGCATGACAACACGTCTTCTGGTTTTCTGCCATGATCTTACCCGAAAAAGAAAGAACTTTCAAACAAAATGTGCATGTGTTTATTATCGTCCAGGAATAGTTGAAATGAATTTTCTTATGTAATCGACATGTAATCTAGACGTGTAGGTCTTGAATTACAAATTATAAAACTTTCATGTGTACATTCTGTGCCATAGATTACTTCTTCAATGGCTTCTAAACCCTTCTTCTTCCTCTTCCTCCTCTTGCTGTTTCTCTCATCTAAACAAAGCCTAAGCTCACAATGGGTCAAATCTGGTTACTGGGATTCAAGCGGCCCCCTTCTCGTTTCTGAAATAAATTCTGCTCTTTTTACTCTTCTTTTTTGTATTTTTGCTCATGTAAACTCATCCTCCTATCAGCATTTTATAAATTTCTCAAATGAACTATCTTTCTCCAACTTCAAAAATGTTGTAAAGCTAAAGAATCCATCGATTACTACACTTTTGTCCATTTGGGTTGGAGGAAGTGAGTGGATCACCTTTTCTTTGATGATTAATCAAACTTCCCACTGAAAAGCTTTCATAGAATCTTCAATTGAAACAGCCAGACTTTATGGTTTCCATGGTTTAGACCTTTATGAGGTTAAGCTTAGAACTGGCACCAATATGACCAGCTTGGGTACCTTCTTGGATGATTGGCGAGCTGAGGTAGCTTCTGAGTCGAGAAACTCAGGTAATCCACAGTTGCTATTAACTATGTCGGCCTACCGCTTGCCAATTGTCGACTCAGTGAGTTATCCTATTGATTCTGCAAAAAGAAACCTGGATTGGGTAAATATAATGGCATATGACTACTATGTGCCAACACTAGACAGTGTTACTGGTTTTCATGCAGCTTTATATGACCCATCAGGAAGGGCCAACACTGATGCTGGTATTAGGGAATGGTTAAACAAAGGATTTCCTTCTGAAAAGCTGGTTTTGGGTTTGTCTTACGCATGGAACCTTGTTAACTCGATTGACAATGGCATTGGTTCAACAGCTTCCGGGCCAGCTGTCTCGCTTAACAGTAACCTGTGGTATATGTATACCATATTATTCCTTCAAAATTATGGTCAGGGTGTCGAATCTGTGTATAATTCTACTTACGTGGTGAATCTTTGTAAAATCGGATCGAATTGGATTAATTTTGATGATGTAGAAGCCATTAAAGCTAAGGTTTCTTATGCCAAGGTGAATAGCCTACTAGGTTACGATGCCTTTGAACTCTCCAATGACGATAATTGGGTGCTTTCACAAGCTGGTAAGGTGGTTATCACCCCTTAGTTTTACAGACTCTCGTCTATTGCTTAGAACATATCAATTTTCCTAGAAAATACTGAATTTTCAAACTTTGACTGGAAAAAGAACATGTCAACTAGCATCATTTCTTGCACATTTTAACTTCTGCAACTTTCTAATGTTCCACAGCTTACGAAACAGGCACCAGTCAGACAAACAGACTTCTCGTGATTGTTCCGGTCACAATTGCTTTAGTAGTTATCTTGATGGTAGCTATCATCTATTACCTGCGAAAGAAGATATGCAAATCACAAGGTACCTTATTGAACATGTAAGAATTGTCAATGATTTGAGACGATAATCGTACATTGATTTGACCAGGTTTCGACTGCAGGGCTTTTGGGTGCGTTGAAAATATCGGTATCTTGGATAAGAATCAGACTATCAGCTGAAAAAAAAGCATGAAAACGGTGATTCTAATTCCCAAGTTTTCAGTTTCTCTAGCATTAAATCAGCTACAAATAACTTTTCAAATGAGAATAAGCTTGGAGAGGGTGGATATGGACATGTTTATAAGGTAATATACTGTTACTCTACTAGCCATTGCTGAGGGCGTTGTGCCAATCTTCCATGATGCATTCAAATAACCATACATTTGTTGCTTATCTGCAGGGGAAGTTACCAAAGAGGCAGGAAATAGCAGTGAAGAGGCTCTCGAAAAGCTCAAATCAAGGGGTTGAGGAAATGAGGTCACTCTTACATCTAGGCTTCAGCATGTGAATCTAGCTCGAGTTCTGGGAATTTGTACAGAGAACGAAGAAAAAATGCTGGTTTACGAATTCATGCCGAACAAAAGCTTGGATTTGCACCTCTATGGTATCTTTAAGTACATTTTTATGACAAGTTATTCCTTGTTAGAGGTTTCAATAACTTAACCCTATACTTCTTAAACCAAAATGACATATATTGTTTATACATTTAATCGAGCAGATCCAATTAAAAAGCAGTTGTTAGATTGGAGAAGACTAGTTTTGATAATTGAAGGCGTTACTCAAGGGCTTCTATATCTCCAAGAATACTCGAAATAAACGATAATTCATCGTGATATAAAGGCCAACAACATTTTTATTAGATTCTGAAATGAACCCGAAAATATCGGATTTCGGTATGGCCAAGTTTTTTGAGAAGGATGAACATGAAGCAAACACTGGCAGAACTGTTGGGACATAGTAAGTGAAACCAGATGGTCTCCTATAATACATATCAGATCGTTTTCTGATCTTTTGCATTGCATCTATTTATTGTTAGTAATTCATTGATTCAATGCAGTGGCTACGTTCCACCGGAATACGTTACGAAAGGAATATACTCTACCAAGTACGATGTGTATAGTTTCGGAATTTTACTTCTGCAAATTATAAGTGGCAAGAGGAATTTCAGTCACCGTGGATGCCATGAAAACTTGAATCTTCTTGAATATGTAAGTAGCTTTGAGACAACCTTTTTTCTTTTGTGTGGTACAAATACCAGAAAATGTATAATGTTGAAATGATGTCCAGGCTTATGAATTGAGAAAACAAGGTCGAGGAGCAGAGTTTTTCGATTCTTCACTCGATGATTTGTCTTCGTCGTGTAAGCTCATTAGATGTATGCAAGTGGCACTGCTATGTGTGCAGGAAAATGCAGCGGATAGACCTTCAATGGTGGAAGTTTATACGATTCTAAAGAACGAAAGTAGTGTTGCAATCTCTACACCTAAGAGCCCAGCATATTCAATTACAAGAGATGAGAACAAGGAAAGTACGGGCATCGAGGGGAAGAAAGTTTTTTCTGTCAATGATGCATCGATAACCCAAGTGATACCTCGGTGACTGAAAGTTTATGCATTTAGTAAACTTTTTGTAAAAGAATCATGTTTTTATTCTAACGCTTAAGGTGAAGGACTAGGAGCCTGTTGCGGGTGACAGAGATGGTGACGTACATGCAGACTTAGGCCTGGTCTCTTCCATGTTGGTCTAGGCTTACGAGCTCAAATGGTGGGAAATGAAGCATAGGAGACGGAGACGCTTGCAGAAAGAATAAAGATAGTAATGGCCAAGAACGATGTTGATATTCTTTAATTGGCCATTTAGCTGGCATTAAACTTGTTTCCTTCTTTTTCGTATGACATTAGTTTCTCAAGAGAGGAATAAGTTCATAAGAAATTAAATTTCCTCTTTCCATTATTCATTCTTAAGGATTTTACTCTTTGAAGAATCCAAAAATCCATTCATATATGTACAAAACTGGGTGAAAAACAGAACTTGAAAAACCAATTGCCAACAGCTTAGTAATCATATGAAAAACAAAAGCGATCCTTCCAATGGTATTAGCATTACTCCATGCAATGACATAATAAAGCTCAAGCTCGGCCTTTTGTCTGTGTAATCAGTAAAGTAAATCCTATTGAATACTTTTAACTCAAAACTTACATGTCTGTAATGATAGCTGACATGCATAATTGACAAATCAAGTTTATTTGCAACACAAGAAGAATAGCATTAAAGAAAAATAAACAGTTTCGTAGGGCTCCTGATTTGACTTGACTTCCGACTTCAGGTGGCTTCTAGTAGTGCATTCCTTCCCATGTATTTGATGCTGCCAAACACATAAAAACATAGGAGAATTAGTCAAGCAGTATATGCACATATATACAGATTAGAGAAGTACTTGAAGTCTTAGTATTCAAATGGAAACTACAGAGGTAAGAACCTACCAATTGCTAAAAGTGTCCAATTCATGTCATATCCTAAGGCCCAAAAGAAGTAACCACCAAGATCATTAGTCTTAGCATACTCGACCTTCTTTTCCACCGATGTTGGTCCATCGTAACCGATCCAATCGGTTCCCGAGTATGAATATTCGGATACAGTATCCCCATCATACACTACAGAGGCATGGTGTTCATCGTTGTATGCTACAATATCACTGTACAACAATATGCCATTGTTTCCTGGCCCAACTCCATCAGCAGGCGCTCCGATACCATGGCTTTTTGGGTCCTTCAGTTCCCATGATTTTCCATAAAGTGGCATCCCCCATAACCAGCTTCCTCGGAGGGACACCAGCATCAATCCAAGATGATATACCAGAGATTGTGCTTATATTGCTAGTTTTGTCGTAAAGTAGAGCATGTTCACCGGTGACTGAAGTGTCCCAACTTCCATGATAATCAAAGCACATAGGATTCACAAAATCACGGTATTTTGCAATGGCTTCAGCAGGGTATGCTCTCGGCGTATCAATGAAGAACCATGAAGCAAAGAAAACAGCAGCACTTAAAAGAAGGGGAGGCTTGCCAGAGTCTGCAGCCTCACTCTCGACGGCCTTACGACATTCTTTGAAAAGAATCGAGAGGTTCGACATGTCACTCGGGTTACTAGGAAACTCCCAATCAAAGTCAAGGCCATCGAAACCATATTTTCTTGCTGTTGTAATGGTCGAATTGATGAAGGCAGCACGATTATTACCATTACTAACCATGTTGGAGAAAGTACCGGGGCCGGAATTCGCTCCTCCTATCGATAACATGGCTTGTGCAGGAGGCTTTTTCGCATGAAGGGTGGCTGTAAAGTTTCCCATCCATTGATCATCAGGTTGGGTGATTGACAGACTGTCAGAAGTAGCATCAATGCCAACAAAGGCATAAAACACATGTATGAAGTACGAGGTAGGGATTGAGGATGGAGGGAGACTATAAGCTAGCCATGAAGACCAATAGCCACCTTTAATCACATCATGGGGATAAGGTGAAGGACTAGGAGCCAGTGGCTGCGACCGAGATGGTGATGTACACACAGGCTTCGGTCGTGGTGTACTCAACGTCGATATAGACTTAGGAGTTAAAAGGGAAGGAAATGAAGCAGTAGAGAAGGAGACATCTGCAGCAAGAACAATGACAGCAATGGCCGAGAAAGATGTTGCTATTCGGAATTTAAATGATTGTTTCTTCAGTTTGTAGAACCAATGGAGAGCATATGCTGTTTATATAGAACAAGAGAAATCTCAAAACCAAGGCAACGATTCTATCGATTTACTTGTTATTTCTTCTTGTTTTTTGGATTTTCCTTTTGGAATTGTGATGATACATGTTGCTTCCTAGGCTTGCTGTTTGCCAGCTTTCTTGTTAATTTTCTCGGAGGATTCGTCAAGTTTATACATATTTGAAAAACATTGAATTGTGGTACGATTATTGATAAAAGCCAGTACTCAAAACCATTGAATGTTACTTTTTTTTAGAAGAGATTATGATATAACTCAATTAAATCAAATTTTGAATATTAACCAAAAATTCTTTTCTTTTAAGATATTATTAATTAAATTTAGGTGATACTAAGCTTGTTTCCTTCTTTTTCATGTTACATTAACTTCTCAACAGAGGTAGAAGTTTATAAGAAATTCAAATGTCTTTCTCATGGATGAATCAATAAATCCATTCATATAAATACAAAACTTCCAACAGTCCAGTAATCATAAGAAAGAAACAAAAGCGACCCTTCCAATGGTCTTAACATTGCTCCGTGCGTTATTTAGAAGGGAAAAAAAAAACATTGCTCCATGCAATGACATATACTAAAGCTCCAAAATCTACTCGCATTTTCATTTTTGTTAAAATTTATAAAGGGATAAGATTCAATTACATGGTCTAAAAATAATTTAGTTTTACATAAATTTAGGACTGTCGGATGATTAGAAATAGAAAATTAAAATTAACAATAAAAAATAAGAAAATATTTTCCGGGGGAAAAACACAATAGTCACCTAATGGTTCTAATATGTGTAAATTTTTTTAAAAAGAATTGTGCATAATATAAATAGATCCTAATCCATTTATAAATAAAATTATATAAAAATAAAAACAACACAAAATCAATTATACATAAAAAAATAAAATTTAATGTAATTTAATTATATTCTCATATGAAAAAAATAATTCATATACGTGAAGGTCAGATGAAATTTGCTTAAGAAAAATACAATAAATTCTATATGTATGTAAAAATCCAAGAACATTTCACAAACTCGATATGTATAAATTAATTTTATCAAAAAGTTTTATTAAGTATCACATAATTAATGTCTCAAATCCGTTTGAATCTCTCTAATAATTATCTTTCATTAAATCTAATAAAATCAAATAATTAATTATTAAAAGAAATCTTATTTCATATTTTTTATTTAAATATATTTAATTATGAAATAATTTTTTATCATTAAGACTACTAAAGTTCAACTTTATTTCCATTTAATTTTGATAGTTATAGTTTGTATTGATTTATATTGTTTTCGATTTTGGGGTAATTTCAGAAACATAGAACTTTCGGATCAAGAAATCCTATTGGAGAAGGCCCAAACAATGAATAGAATAAATCCAGTTACATTTGGGCTGAAAATCATCAACATTCCATGAAACGCTCAACCAAGTAAACCCTAAAATACCAATTGAAGCACAAATTTATTATGTTAACAACTTTCATTCTCCTTAGCGACGCAATCTCTCCAAATTCCCAACCGGAAAACATGGTAATCTCCTCTGCCCTTTCTCCATCTTCCTGCAATCGATTCATTCGTTTCAAGCTTGAATTGCTCTATTTTTTGGTTTGTTTGTTTGTTTTCATTTTCTTTGTGCGAAAATACTTTCTTATCTCTCTTTATTGTAACCAAAGTTGAGTTTTGAAAGTAACACTCTGATAATTTGGATTTTTTTTTGTTGACATGGCAGCCTTCACACAAGACTTTCAGGATCAAGAAGAAGTTGGCCAAGAAGATGAGGCAGAATAGGCCCATCCCTTACTGGATCCGTATGCGCACTGATAACACCATCAGGTCAATATATTTTCTTCATTTTTCTCTTAAATTTTGTTTTAGCTTCACCGTTCTGCTATTTTCAGATAATTTATTGATGGGTTCTTTTGATTTTTTTTTGTTTCTTGAAATGCAGGTACAATGCTAAGCGTAGGCATTGGCGCCGCACCAAGCTAGGGTTCTAAGCCCCATGAGCCTATTTGGTTAAAGTTTTTTGGTTTTTCTTTTCTTTCAAGTTTATTTGCGGACATTGTGAATTTGTGATGTGATGTTTAATGTATGGAACTGCCGAGGGTGAGGGGTTCTTGAATTAAATATTTTGATGTGATTTTTAGCAATATTTCAAGCATTTTATATTCTGCTTTTAGTTTCTTGCTATCATTATCTTCATTTGGATGCTTGATGATAATGAATTTCACTTTTGGATGTGAGGTTCATCGTTTGTTATGTTAAGCTGTTATCACTTGTATGATCTTACGTGCTTGAGAGTGGCCTTCATAAGATTATCTGAATCTGAAAATATCGAAGAACTTGAAATTATTAGGTAATAGTGATAACAAAAAATATTTGGCACCTGATTCAGTGGCGGAGTCAGAAATTTTAGATTAAGTTTCATAATTTAGGGGTGTCACTCACATCCATGTTGCCGCTGTGGCTAGATCCTGATTTCTTTTGCCTTATTGCATTAAAAAGAGCCATTGGAGCCAACAGAAATGGTGGAGATTTGGTATACAATAGTAAGAGAACTTTGATGGTTTAGAGACTGTCATTTCTAATTAAGATGACATGAATTTTGTTTGAAAGTGCACATGCTTTGTGTTTCTAGACAGAGAGAGTATGTAGTAGATCGAAGTGTAATGTACTCTTGAGTTTTGAAGGTAGCATTTGGCCAGTGAGTTTGACAGCTGAACTATGTTACTATTTTACTTGGAGTCAGCATTACGCTGGAATGTTGAGTAAGGGATACATGGTTATGTTCGATTCTATTTTGATGTTTTTAGTGATCGTGTCTCAATGCATCAGATACAATTTCTCCGGTATTTCCCAAAACTCTGTCGTGGAAAATAAATTTCTAAAATGATCCAATTTTCAGAAAAAAGCTGTATATTTATATATCAAATACAAATTATAACATTAAAATTAAAAATTTTACACATTTCTTTTCTGGTGTTTTCCCGCTTTCTTTACAATTTATTCCGTTTAATTAAATATTTTTAAAAAAGTTTCCATATATTACATGGTTAACTTACAAACAGATTTTTAATTATAATCATCGTGTTTATTATATAATTATTATTATATATTTGATTATAATTATAATTAATATATACAATTATGATTAAAATTAATTATAAATAAATAGACGGACGGTAAAAGTCATCTATAACTGAATTAAATTAGAACTAAAATTAGTGAATATTTAAATTTAAACATTATAAAAATATAACTTAAATTTTCAAAATCCAAAAATTTTAGCTTTTACGGTTTTACCAACACAGTCAAAATCTCATTAATCGTTTAATATCATGAAACTTGAATCGATTTGGTTTTAAATTTTAAATGGTGGAATAAACATAATTAAATTGAAAAACTATTTCATTGATTTTAGGGTAAATTGTGAGTATAGTCCCCTTTGTTTTCGGTCTGGTCGACTTTAGTCACCAATTTAAAAATTAAGGTTATATAGTCTCTAACATTATCGATCCATTCGATTTTAGTCTCTCCACCGTTAATATTTGTTAACCCATTAATAGAAGTCTTACGTGGTTCTTGAAAAAAATCATCTTAATTTTCTTCTTCTTCTTCTTTGCAGCGTTCCAGGTTAGAAAAAAAACTGAAGCAATAGAATTGTAAGCTTCAACGGCCTTCATTGTCTTTTTTGCAGCTTCTAGTTTTGGCGGCGATGAAAAAAACACCAAAAGTTCGTCGAGTTTTACAATGTAAGAGATGCAACTAAAGCTTTACGGGAAACGAATGAAAAAAAAAATCAATGGAAAACAAGTTGTAATTAAATTCAGTCGACTCGAAAGTTATAACAAAAAGTTATTTAATGCTTGCACTCATAATATATAATAACCCGTCTTCTCTTCCTCCCCCTCCGCAGTTGTCGTTATTAGCTCATAGATATGCTTCCAACATTCCTCGTTCTTTTCTTTATCGAAGCCAATCACCTACCAAGAAAGCAACTAATTCTAGCAAGGAAAATCCTAACAAGAATAAAAAAAAGCAGTAGCTCAGTTGGTACGCTGGTGGCCGATGCTGCTGCTGCTAAGAAGACTGCGAAGAATCAAAACAACCGTTGACACAAAAGAATAGCAATGAGATTAAGCAGAAGTGTAGGGGAAGGCTGGGAAAAGGTAAACAAAAGAAAAAAAAATTCGATCCTCGTTTCATAATAAGCGAAGAAGCCATGTCGTAATATAATTGAAAAGATTCAAGGACCACTGGCATGGTTAAGAACATAGCCAATAGGTTTGTCACTCTTAACATGATTGCATTTGTTTCGATATAATAGGTTTGTCACTCTTAACATGATTGCATTTGTTTTGATATATTTACGTGGGTTTGAGTTTTTGGCATTTTGCTATGAAAAAATGTTGTTGAACATGCTCGACAATCATTCACTGCAACGAGTAAATTGTTAACACCGACGACGATTAGCCTTTATCTTCTTACGATTTCATCTACCTCCCCATTGATTTTAAGTAATTTGCTTTCATTCCTTTTTCTTTTTCGTTGAATTACACATATTTATTCATATAACTGAAAATTTCAATAATAGGTGTAATGTGGGATATTGATTTGTTAACATGACTTCCCCGCAAACAACTTAGAGACTTCCCAAGGCCTTCCATCAACACTGGAAAGTGTTCAACTTCAGAAAAATCTGTGAAAAGCTTGGAGTTTGTGAGCATATAAATTCAAAGAGACTAATCTCGTTCATTATATGTAACTTATGGTTTAAGGTTTGCCTTTGATTAAATGTCTCTAAAGCAATGAAAAACAAAATACAGACGGGAAGAAAATAAACTAACAAATGATGATAACGTTAGGGATTATTTATTCTTAATTTTTAAATTAGTGATTAAAGTTTGTCAGATAAAAAATAAAAAGAACTATTCACATAATTTATCTTTGATTTTATCAAATAAATGGATATTTTGCATAAAGCTGCCATTGTACTAGTTTTACTTTTGTTATTTGTGGGCTTAAAAGCACAATTGCTCTCTAAATTATATAGTTTGTGCTGAGTTTTTAAATATTTTTCGATACGTTTTGGCCGTTAAAGTTTAAATTATTATCTCATTTGTCTAAAATCATTAACTCCTTTAAAAAATATGTGGGTAAATTACATATTTAGTCACTCAACTATTTATATGATCATGTTTGAGTTACCCAACCTTTTTTTCTTCAAAATCATCACTAAAATTAAGTTTTTGTTACGTTTTGGTCACCCAATTTGATTTAACTTATTTTTTTTAAAAATTTTTAATGTATAAGAATTCATTTATATTATAATTTTTTTACTCGACACATAAATTTAAAATAAGTAATATTATAAGTTAAATAACAAGCAACATATTAAATTGTATGTAACTAAAATTCTATTAAATGAAATATTAATTATTTAATTAAAATATCATAAACAAAAATTGCACAATGTATGAAGAAACACTGATCACCCCAAACCCATGCACCCAAACTATTTTCTTGCCGATCTCACATACATCGTCAACAACACTATAAAAATTTAAGTGTATAAAATATAAAAATCAAATTTTTTTAAAGTTATGAGGTTTGATTTTAGAATTAAAAATGTATTAATTATATTTTAAAAAATTTAAATTGACATATTTTCCAGTGTTTTTATGAAACCAAACGAAATCAAACTCATTGTTTTCCTCTTATTTATTTCTTTTTATTCCTTCCTTAGATTTCCCCGATCTTCACTGCCTCTTGTACTGTCTACATCGCCATCGACCGACGTTTTTAAGCTTTTTTTAAAAAAATTCTTCTTTGGACGTGTTTTAAATTTTATTGGTTTAGTTGTTTCTTTTTTTTCAAATATTTTTTCTTTTCATTTTAATTGTTTGAAAACCTAGATCTTGCTATGGGAAAACACTTGCAAAAGCCTCAATTCCAGCTTTTTTGGAGGTAGATTTCTTTAAAATTTGGATGCAATTTTAATAGCTTTTTTTATGTTTAAATTTTGGCTTTGTTTCATTTTTTTGTTGTTTTCAATTTATTATTTATTATTTATGTTAGATATTATTTACGTTAGATATAAATTAATATATTATTTATTATTCATTGTATAAAATTACTTATTATTGAAAATAAATTTATGTGTCGAGTAAAAAAATATAATATAAGTGAATTCTTATACTTTAAAAAAAATAAAAAAAATTGAATTAAATTGAGTGACCAAAACATAACAAAAACTTAGTGACGATTTTAAAGAAAAAATTGGATAACTCAAACACAACCGCATAAATAGTTGAGTGACTAAATATGTAATTTATCCGCATGTTTTTTGTCGGAGTTAAGGATTTAGAGCAAATGAGGTTAAACTTAAGGAAACAGTCAAAAATAATTTTAAGAAACAACTCAATACAAACAGTATAATTTAGAGGACAGTGTACACATTTAAGCCTTATTTCTTTTAAGCCGCTAATGAAATTTTGTAAATAAAAAAACCTTATTTCTTCCATCCCTTTATAACGATGGAAGAAAAGCGTTGGGGAGTTGACACCCGCTCTTTACATAGACTATTAAAAGATTGTTTTGGTTTCATAACAATGGAAAACGTTGTACGATACTCTTAACGAAACAACAAACCGGCGAAACTAAAACCGCGCAACTCCCGGCAAACCACATAATCTCTAACTTGGACATAGACCACCTTCATTTCAACGATATTTTTGTCTTCCTTTCATATTATTTGTCTCCAAGTTGGGTATAAAAGAAAATAAATAAATCTCAAGGCAAAAACATTTCAGTCCCTTTGACAGAGCGAAGAAAACCGACCTCCTCTTCTCATTCATTATATTCATCCCTGTCTTATGGAGGAGGACAGGGAAGACTGACGTTAGACCTTATAAAGAAAGAAGAAACTCAGAAAAAAGAAAAGAACAAAGGGAAAAAAGCTTTTGGTTCAAGAGTTTTCTTCTTTCTTCTCTTGTAAACGAAGACCTCTTCCTGTAATTAATTGGCTCCTTGTTTTTCATCGTCTGTATCCGATGGCTTCCAATGATGATATCTCATTGGAGCAAATAAAAAAGGAGACTGTTGATCTTGTAAGCCTTTGACACCTCTTTCCTTTTGCATGTTAGCTTTCATTTGCATTGGTTTCTACTATGTTTGAGGGGGATCAAAGTACAAATTTGTGGTTTGGGTGTCGTAGTTGTGGACGTTGAAAACGTTGTGAATGTTACGTCACATATAACGGTTGTCACCAATATAATTCGTTTTTTAAAAAAATTATAATGTTTCTAAATTAGATATGCGATTGTAGTATTACGAGGATCTTAAAATCCGTTATTTTCAGATGTTGTGTTGCTATCAAAAACCGAGTTGCTTGGGTTCTTAATTTGTTTTTATTTGAATGTTGAAACCCTTTTTCCTTTTTGCATGCATGTTAGCTTTCGTTCCCTATTGTCCCCTCCCCCACCCCAAAGAAAACTAAACTGGTGGGGTTCTGTGTTTTTCTTCTTCTTTTTGTATGTATAGGAGAAAATCCCTGTGGAAGAGGTTTTTAAAGTGTTGAAATGCACGAGAGAAGGTTTGACAACAGAAGAAGGAGAGAAGAGGCTAAGCATTTTCGGTCCTAACAAGCTTGAAGAGAAAAAAGAGAGCAAATTCCTAAAGTTCTTACGGTTTATGTGGAATCCGCTGTCGTGGGTGATGGAGGCTGCCGCCATCATGGCCATTGTTTTGGCCAATGGCGGAGGCAAGCCTCCTGACTGGCCAGATTTCGTTGGTATAGTTACTTTGCTTTTAATCAATTCAACCATTAGTTTTATAGAGGAAAACAGCGCCGGCAATGCCGCTGCTGCTTTGATGGCAGGTCTAGCACCCAAATCAAAGGTATATCTATATATTTATTTACTTATTTGTTCGTTTGCAATTGGAGATTTCATCAACACCATGGTTCACTCTGTAGGTGTTGCGAGACGGGAAATGGAGCGAACAAGAGGCATCAATTTTGGTACCTGGAGATATAATTAGTGTTAAACTAGGAGACATTATCCCGGCGGATGCTCGTCTCTTGGAGGGTGATATTCTCAAAATCGATCAGGCAGCTCTCACCGGTGAATCCCTACCCGTTACAAAGAATCCCGGTGATCATGTCTTCTCTGGTTCCACCTGCAAACAAGGTGAGATCGACGCTGTTGTTATCGCCACCGGTCTCCATACTTTCTTTGGCAAGGCTGCTCACCTTGTTGACAACACCAACAACGTCGGTCACTTTCAACAGGTACTTATGAATGGTGCAAAAATGGAACATGTTTTACACTGTGTAATATTAATAAGTAATAAACCTTTGCTTCTTGTTGTTTCAATGTTGCAGGTGTTGACAGCCATTGGTAACTTTTGCATCATCTCTATTGGTATCGGAATGGTGATTGAGATCATAGTGATGTACCCGATTCAGCATAGGAAGTATAGAGAAGGTATCGACAACCTGTTGGTGCTTCTCATTGGAGGGATCCCAATAGCTATGCCTACAGTTTTGTCTGTGACAATGGCTATTGGTTCCCACCGGTTGTCGGAACAAGGAGCCATTACTAAGAGGATGACTGCCATTGAAGAAATGGCAGGGATGGATATATTGTGCAGTGATAAGACCGGGACTCTAACCCTCAACAAGCTAACAGTAGACACGAGCCTTGTCGAGGTTGGTTTTGGTCGCCTTTTTTATTATGTTTTTTTCTAGGCATAAACTCAATGTTTCATCTATCGTTAGATCTATATCCACATGATATAAGTTAGCTCCTGAATATAAAATCTTGCATTTTCCCGTCCGCAGGTGTTCGCTAGCGGAGTGGACGTCGACACCCTTATGCTGACTGCTGCTAGGGCTTCGAGGGTTGAAAACCAGGACGCCATCGATGCTTGTATTGTAGGGATGTTGATCGACCCCAAACAGGTATCTAATACTCCCCACATTTACCTGCTTTTATCCTTCATTTTGCTTGAAATATCAATGCCCAGATTTCTAATTTTGCTGTTGTGAATCAATAGGCAAGGGCTGGAATCACTGAGGTACACTTCTTGTCCTTCAACCCTGTTGATAAGCGCACTGCCATTACCTACATTGACAGCAATGGTGAGTGGCATCGTGCCAGCAAGGGCGCTCCGGAGCAGGTAAGATACAACAAAACAGCCATGATTGACTTCGATTTCTAATTAATCACCGGTTTCTAATCTTGGTTCGTTGCAGATTATTGACCTTTGCGGGCTCACAGGCGGCTCGAGGAAAAGGGCGCTCAATGTCATCGACAGCTATGCCAACCGTGGCCTTCGGTCCTTGGGAGTTGGTAGACAGGTATAAGATGACTACAATGCTAGTACACATATATTTGATCCCATATGAAAAATCCCATTTGGCTAAAGAATTTATTGTTTATTTTTCACAGACAATTCCAGAGAAAACAAAGGAAAGCCCCGGAGGACCTTGGGAGTTTGTGGGACTATTGCCTCTCTTTGATCCTCCGAGGCATGATAGTGCCGAGACCATTAAACGGGCACTTGAACTTGGCGTCAGTGTCAAGATGATCACCGGTGACCAGCTCGCTATTGGAAAAGAGACTGGCCGGAGACTTGGAATGGGGACTAATATGTATCCTGCTTCTGCACTAGTTGGCCAGTGTCAGGATGAGTCTCTTGCTAACATTCCTATTGATGATCTCATTGAGAAAGCTGATGGATTTGCAGGAGTCTTCCCTGGTAATTGCATAATCATCCCAAGCTCTTAAATTTGGCATGAAATGATCTCAACCATTTCATCTATTGCTTAAATTACATGAAATTTTTTGTATGCAGAGCACAAGTACGAGATCGTTAAAAAACTCCAAGAAAGGAACCACATATGTGGTATGACTGGAGACGGTGTCAATGATGCCCCGGCACTTAAGAAGGCGGATATCGGTATTGCAGTGGCTGATTCAACCGATGCAGCCAGGAGTGCGTCAGACATAGTGTTGACTGAGCCAGGGTTGAGTGTGATAGTGAGCGCGGTGTTGACGAGCAGATCCATCTTCCAAAGGATGAAGAACTACACCATCTATGCCGTTTCCATCACGATACGTATCGTGTTGGGATTCATGCTGGTGGCACTCATTTGGAAGTTTGATTTCTCACCATTCATGGTGTTGATCATTGCAATCCTCAATGATGGAACCATCATGACCATCTCAAAGGATAGGGTGAAGCCATCTCCAAAGCCCGACTCGTGGAAGCTGGACGAAATATTTGCCACCGGGATTGTCCTTGGAACATACATGGCTATTGTGACCGTCTTCTTTTTCTGGCTTGTTCATGACACCGATTTTTTCACCGTCAGTGCATCACACTCAAATTCATAATTCTTTATGATTATGAAGCCCTCTGCCAACCCCACCCCCCCAAAAAAAAACAAAAAATATATATACTTAATATTGGGTTTTTAAATTTTGCAGAAAACTTTTGGTGACACTCAAATTCATAATTCTTTATGATTATGAAGCCCTCTGCCAACCCCCCCCCCCAAAAAAAAAAACAAAAAATATATATACTTAATATTGGGTTTTTAAATTTTGCAGAAAACTTTTGGTGTGAAGCCAATCAAGGATAGTCAGGCCGCACTTACTTCAGCTCTCTACCTTCAAGTCAGTTCCGTCAGTCAAGCACTCATCTTCGTCACACGGTCCAGGAGCTGGTCTTTCGTCGAGTGCCCTTGTCTCTTGCTTATCATTGCCTTCATCTTAGCGCAATTGGTAAATCCATAATATATATATATATAAAGATCTTTCTGAATCGAATTATAAAACTAATAAGATTGATTTGAACTTAAATTTTCTCATTTTATCTAAATTATAATACCAAAACCCGAAATAACATGATGATCAAATTCAAATCTAATACAAACTAAACTAGTAAAAACAAATTGTGCTAGAGTATTTTGCACAGAATTATATAACTTTTGTGGATTGTTAAACAAGGTGGCGACTTTGATTACCGTGTACGCTACCTGGGAATTCGCCAGAATGCAAGGCATTGGATGGGAATGGGCGGGAGCAATCTGGGTGTTCACTGTAGTCACGTACATTCCTCTTGATATTCTCAAGTTCATCACCCGCTACGCGTTGACCGGCGATGCCTGGGGAAACGTAGTTCAGAGCAAGGTCAAACAAATAAACACTTTTTTTAAAAAAAAAAAACTATTTTTATAGTATTGTCTCCGATTAAATTCCCTCTGTTTATGTTTACTACCAATTCAGACCGCATTCAGGGGAGAAAGCGAGACACTACTAGTGGCACCAAATCAACATGCACATCAAGGCGTTTCAGCATCCCCTGAGACATATTCCAATGACAAGATTGCGCAAATGGTTTAACACAGCAGACTCCAGTTAGTGCCGAAAACAAACTGAAATTGAACTGCAGATTTGTAACTTTTTGTTAGTTCAACTCAATTTTATTTGTAGTTTCAAAATTGCTTTTGCATTCGTGTTTATTTTTCGGTTGAAAGTATCTCTGCCCGGGTCGATTTGTTACATTAAACAAATACTCAAAAATATATTTCGATAATAATAATTAAAAAAATTGTGATTGAACAATAAAAACAAAAAATCTTACAAATAAATATAAACAAAAAAAACTAATAAAAAGGGGTTTCACCCCAATATTCAATTCCAAAAAAATATTTAATAATATATTGATTTTCGACTCATATACTTCTTTTGTTTATCTTTAAATACAATTAAAAAATTTAAAAATAAAAACGCTAAATAGATATTAGAATTTTATGATTTAAATTGGTAAAAAAGTAAGCTCGAGTTGTCATTTGGTGTGCCATGTTGAGATCCTCTATAACATGAACTCAAGCTTAGCAAAGCATTTTGATGCATTGATTATAATTGGAACTACAGTTTCATATGACGACGCTAAAGCCACATTTCGTATCTGGAACTATTGTCTGAATTAAAAGCCCTCAAGTTTGTAGTGGAAGATAAGTCTTACTCTATATTACCGGGCATTTTGCAAGTGCAAAATAAACACCTCGGCATGTCCTCAGAGGGAGCCTCCCTGTCTGCTTTGGCACCATGGCATATTATCACAATTCACAACATTTTCTCCAATACCCTTTCTTCCCCGACCCCATCCATACTCTTTTAGCTGAGTGCAAACTTAGTTTTTCACTAAATTTTGACAAGCTGAGAACAGTGCCGGATGCAGGTAGTTCTTGGGATTTAATAACTGGTGGTTAAATAGTCTCTAGACCAACCATCCATCCATTAAAATGTAAGATCATAATAAGTTGCAGTACAATATACTAATAATACATAACTTTTTGCCAGTCAGGTCATTCCAGATCAAGACCACGAGTACAATGGAATTTAGATCCTCTTGCAGTAAAAATCTGACGCTCAAGGACTGCTCCAGTGATAATTTTCTACAACAGAAAGCTCATGCTTTACGAACAATAATATGCCTTTCTCGTTGATATTCAACGTCACCTCTCTGGTGCATAATTAGAATGGCTCTTCTTACCTGCCAAATAAAATAAACCATATTGAATCAGATGTTCAACAAATATACATACAACCCGAAAATTGGTATATTTTTTAACTAGTTTTCACTCTTCACTAAGAATACTAAAACTAAATTCTAACAATGACTGTTTTTAAGACAACTACTTACAATTGACTCATTCATCCCCATTCTAGTAAGATCATCAATCAGCCTTCTTTCTGATATGCGATTTCCGTTTCCCAGTCTTCTCTTTATCTGGTTCTCCGCTTGCTATATATACACCAAAAATTATTAACATGAGAAAGATCACAAGAGTACAAGAACAAGTTCAGAAAAAAATGTCTGCAAACCTTTATCTCATTGGCCATATCAGGCGAGATATTAATATGTTGGTTTATTCCAGAACGTGCTGCATCCATGGTGGAAACTTTGAAAAGGCTCAATGCTTCAGCTACATCACCTTCAGTGGCAACATGTGACCTGAAATATATTTCAACTGTTAAAAGGGGCAATTTATTCTATTTATATCAAAATAGGCACGTAGATATTTTTTATCAAATTACTGAAGTAGGTTAACTTCTATTTGAGTTTAATTCAAGCATTCACCATCTAACATGCTTTTGCTAGATCTGACGCTTACAATTTCATTTTTGCAAGAGCCTCGCTTAACCTTATGATGGCCTCCAGCTGCCTCACAGTGATGGGAATTGCTGCACTCTCTCCGGTCTCATTTGCTTGCTGCCTCATTCCCTACAACAGTAACCCATGTTGATTACTAATGTTAGTAAGCATAAAACTTGAGATCATTTGCAAATTAACTTCAGAGAAGTTCTCATGCTAATGGGTGTTAAGGGCTCCCTTGCTAGTTAAATTTAGAATAGAACTTAAAAAAAGCATTTATGGCTAAAGCTTGAGAATACCCTTCTGATATCAACATAATCACTCTGGAGTTTAGCACATGCAGCTTCTGAAAGGCGAGGATGGCATTCTGTTCGACAATATTGTATATACCTATAAAACTTAATTCAATTTAGCAGCAAATACAATGTAGCATACATGTTGGATATGTTCAAATACCTTCACTTTAATTATAAAAAATAAGAAGCCAATTTTTTTTACATATACCTTTTCAGCCAATTATCTTCTTTAGGAGTTCTACTGTCATTGGATGCTGTCTGAGCTGATGCATGAACTTTTATGACATGACTTGCTATAACCTGTAAAAGCTATAACCTGTAAAAGGATAATTGAATTCAAAGCCCTTGGTAGAAGCACTTAGAAGTCATGTTAACATTATGGGTCCTTTTGTTTTATCCTTGGAGCACTAAAACAGAAGAATTACTGTTTAGAAATCAAGAAATAACTTTTCTGACAAGCAATTTTTTAACTGTCATTGACCGATGAAATCTAAGGTGAGCAAAATAACCAGACTACCTTGTCTTGGTCATACATTCTGATGTCCTTTACAATGAAGATCAAGTCAAATCTTGACAGAATTGTAGTCTGCAAATCAATATTATCCTGTGCAGTCTTCAATGTAATTATATTTGTCAGTTGCTTCAAAGGAATACCAAGCATAAATTCGGGAAATTGAAAAAAATGGAAAAGTGTGCAGATACAGACCTTAAGATCGTCATAACGACCTGAAGGAGGATTAGCAGAGGCAAGAACTGAAGTTCTGGAATTGAGAACAGTTGTAATTCCAGCTTTGGCAATGGATATTGTCTGCTGCTCCATAGCTTCATGAATAGCAACCCTAGGCAATACAGAGAAAAAACCTCATAAACATCATACATAGGAAGGCCTAACAGGTTTTAAGATTAATTCAACTTACCTATCCTCTGGTCTCATCTTATCAAACTCTTCAATACATACAACACCTCCATCTGCCAAAACCATGGCTCCTCCTTCAAGGTAAAACTCTCGCTGACATTTCATAGATACATGAACAGTGTGAGAAACTTTTTTTTTGCTTTTAAAAGGGCACAGTAAAGGGAACTTTTCTCATGATAAAGCAACTAGTAAAGCAAAATTATCTCCACTAGATTCCAAAGCACACCAAGAACTTACAGAACTACTATCTCGAATAACAGAAGCTGTAAGACCAGCAGCTGATGAGCCCTTTCCAGAAGTGTAAACAGCTATTGGAGATGTCTTCTCAACAAACTTGAGAAACTGTACAAGGTAACCATTAAATAAGCACCAAATTGTGCGAGAAGGCACTAGAAGCTATAGTATGAAATAGCTCCAATTAAAAAATTCTTGATAAATACTCTAAAATGGAATGTAGAACAGAGCAAAAGGTGATGGCAAAGCAATAACAGTTCATTTCAGCAACATCAACTGTCAAAGATACATGTAACTAACCTGTGACTTGGCAGTAGATGGATTGCCAAGAAGCAACACATTAATATCACCTCTTTACTTCACCCCATCAGGCAAATTCTACACATTAATGAAGCAAGTTACGGTAACAGTAAATACTAGGAATATTGAAGGATGGAAGTTAAGGATGTGAAACTTACTTTCCTGGCTCCTCCAAATAGAAGACAAGCGTCAGCCTTCTTGACATCATCGTGACCAAATATAGAGGGAGCAATCTTGGAGCAATCTTGGAGCATATGACTTTATATGTATCTGATTTGAAGCAAATTTTTTGAATTCTTCTACCTGCAAGTAATATGTAGATAACAATGATGATGACAAAGGGAATCCATCGTAAATTCAGTTTAGACATTGGGAAGAAAAATCCAGTTGATACAAATTGAATTAATCAACTCAGTTCAAAAATAAGTTGCAAGCATAGTAACATATCAATGACACTATCAAGCAATATAGTCGATGCAAATTCAAAAAAAAAAATATGAACCAATCAGAAATGATGCAATAAAGTGGAGATGTGACTTCTTACGTAAACAATAATCATGATCACTCAGATATTTACCTCTTCTTGTGTGAAAGTAGCAGGTCCTCGGGAGCTTGCTTCACTTGTCTCTTCCATTCCCACTACCCTGATATAAGGCTGTCTAACTGCAACTGCACCTTTATGGCTGCATAAATCAGATCAAAATAGTTAGAAGAGAAATAAGAGGCTAACTATAGGGTACAATTGTTTGAATCAGATGTCAGTCCACTGAAAGCAACATATTCCCACTACCCTGATACAAAGACATTATGTCTTACTTTGTGGATAAATTGACAGCTTGAAAGATGCTATAAATTCCCATTATTGTCAATCTCGAACCAGGTACAATTGTTTGAACCAGATGTCAGTCCACTGAAAGCAACATATTTCTCGGAAGCTCACCAGTGGGTACATCCTTCAAATTTAACGTGAATGCATATTCCAATCAATTCTATAATTTGTTTTATACATTATTGCTCTTGAAAACAAAATCGTTACCTCCGGGTTCTCTTGCAGTTTCAAGGTTTGTTGATCAACATACTTGCTCCTATCAGCCACGGATCAGTAGGGCAAGCTTCTTCTCCAGGCTACAAATATTCCATAACTGCAACCAAACCTCTCATACTAAACAAGTAATATTAACAACTCAACCTTTTATAAGGAATAAACCTGTGGAATATGGTCACATGACCGCGGAACAATTGCCCCACCAAGACCTGGACGGCAGGGAATCGCCCTGGTATTTTTACAGTTCTTACAGATTAAATGCACATAAGTAGCCTTGGCCTTAATCCTTGAAGCAGCAATTGTAATTCCGGATATCTTAACCAGTTTTGATATATATTGAGCCTAATAAAATAAAATAAAATAACAGAAAAAAAGAGTCGGAAACTGAAAATAATCCATTCCCTTCATACCAATAGATCAAACAAATCCCAACCAATTACCTCAAGTGAGCGCAAAGAAACGGTATCCTCCTTTGACGTAAGCAAAATTTGAACCTCACCCGTCTGTGGCTCCACCATTTCCCCTGAATCTCCCGCTAGTTTCATCTTCAAACCCCCTAAAACCTCCGCAGCCGCCTTCTCAAACTGCACCAATTATTAAGAAGAAGCAACCTTAAGCTAAAAGAACAAATTTTGATAAAATTGCTAAGAGAAGTTCGTCAGAATATTTTACTAAAGGCAGGTAATCGGGCGGAGCGGAGCGAATTAGGGAAGGGAGATCGGAATCGAATGAGAGAAGGTCCTCGAGATGGACCAGTAGGAATTTAGGATTATTAACGAGGCTTTCTCTGTACGGGAAAACGTTCTTCTTCTTTTTAAAGTTACTGATGAACTCCTTGAATTTGAGAACAGAGTGGCGGCTCGTCGTGGAGGATGCGGCGGCCGCTTCCGCTTCCCCGGAGGCTTCCATGAATTGAGCCTGATTGCTGTAGTAAACCGCTCCTTCGTCCCATCCCGACATTTCCTTCTTTGCTTTTCAGCTTTGATTACCGTCTCTCACTCTCGTTGAAAATGAAGAAGACAATATCATTCTCTCAGAGCCAACTTCCGTCTTTGTTAATTACCACAAGGGTACTCCTTGGCGGGAAGGTTATTTTGTTTTTTGCGGGAAATGGCCTCGCACGTGCTTGGGACATGCTATATTGGAGATTGTCATGTTAAGTGACTCTAATGGGCTTAGCTTGTCATCTATTCCCCCAATCCTCGAGACCCAACACAAAAATCATATCATACATACGTTAAACAAGTTTACAATCACCATTCTCTAATATTACACGTCTATAATATTATACGTCAAACAGATAGCACTATGTCGTTGATCCATTTACCGCCTCAAGTACTACATAATATAAGAGGTAAAAAACACATGGGAAATTGTGAAATACGGGAACAAATAAGGGAGGTAAAAGCAAAGCATTAATTGCCGCCAACTGCCAAAGAATTTTAAGTATATTAAAATTGCTCCTATAAAACGGATAAAAACCTACTCATCTCTCTCATTTTGCTCTCGAATTCAAAAATTAGCGAAAGCTAGTTGATAAACTTCGTCATCTCAGGCCGATGCAGAGTCTCCTACTCCGCCAGCCTCCGAAGTTCATGGTCCATTCTCTTCCTCAATTTCTTTATATCATTCAATCCGCTCGTTACTTCCATTTCGTTTCTAATTTCAAACCACGTTGAATACTTCCTGTTATTATGTGATTGATTCTTATTTGAAGTCATCGCATATTTAAAAATTCAGGTTGAAGAAAAGCATTTAGTTATTATTACCTGCATAATTCAAATTGTCTAAAAAAAACGTTGTGAAATGTGAGGATTTTCGTTTAAATCATTATTTAGTCGTATATTCTATAGTTAATTTCCTGAGATCGCTTGTCATCCTCGTAATTATTAGTGACTTTTGGATACTTTCGAGAATTACAAATTTCTTTCCAATTAATGCATTCTTATTAACTTATTTTACAATGTTATTTTCTCAGATCTTGTAATTTTCCATATGCAATTAGTCATTTAACTTACAATAATTTTCATTTAAACAGTGCTGATATGTCACTGCACCTTCAAATGACAAGGGGGGAATATGATTTAAATGATAAGGTGAGTAAATCTTCTATGTAACTTTCATCTGGTGAATAACGAGATATGAAACTTATTTTTGAAAATTTGTTGATTATTATTCCTACTTTATCTAAACTTCAGCCTTCTTCTGAAGATTACACCAGGAAATAGATAGTGTATTATTGTATATCCACAATCATGTTTTTCTATATCGCTCTACCGGTACTTTTTTTGTCTTCACTCTTTTCGTTAGGTTCTGGTAGATTAATTTAACATTAGCTTGTTGCAAACACTTTGCTTCTCATAAATTACATCATGTTTACCTTTTAATAAAAGTTCTGCAGTGAATTTGATCAAAACTCTGGAGGAATAGTTGAAGAGTTCTTTAAGAAAAGCTAGGAGGAATAGAAGGAACAGTTATCAGAAAGCTGCATACACTGTTTTTAACATATCGAATAAGAGATACTTAAAATTGTAAGCTCTATAATTTACACTACCATCTTCCCATTATTTTTATGGAGAACTTAATAACTGAAGATGGGTCAATATTGGGTGTAAATAGACACTACACTACCATTAGTATTGAAGCATTACTTCTGACACATTTAGAAACATCACTTAAAACAGATAAATGCTTGGAAAACAGATCAATTCTTAAACATTTAAAAAATGAATAAGTGATCATTCTCTCTCAGAGCATTCAGTTCTTCAACTTCTGAGCCGTCAGCCACAAGAATAGTGCTCCCTCTTTTTCCAAATTTCTTCTCTGTATTAACCAAATATAAACAAATTCAGTCCTTGCACCAGTGCCCGCTTCCCCCCCCCCCCCAACACCCCACCCCACCCTACCCTCTTTTTTCATCATATTAGTGTATCCACTAACATGTTTTCTCTTGATGGTTGTTAACTTTCCAATCATATGAATCAATGAAAATAACTTTTCTAGAATTTGATATATTGTATGCTTAGTGGTTTAATCTGTGTTGTTGTGACTTGAAGTGGAAGTCTCTTGTATTGGTTTAATAGGCTTAACTTCATGTTTGATGCGTCAAGATCAAATCTTTCAGCATTTTTTCATGTACTTGATTATTTCTCTTAGGAATGAGTTTTAGGTGTGTTATATATCTTTCTATTTGTTCCGTTGTTTTCATTTTTTTTCCATTCATATAAGTCTTTTAGCATGTCAAGTGGAAGTTAGTAAACGAATATTCACTTTTTAAGAAGATTGTTGTTTGGTGATACCTGCTAGACTGAAGAGGTCTTCAAGTGAATCAGGCAAATATACGAGCTTTCCCAACCTGTCATTAGACGTTCCTTCGCTCGGATAATGCCCATGAATTATCACCCGGATGGTGGTTGCACCATTGGAAGTGTCTGTTTTTCCTGCAAACCGGTAAATTCATTAAGTTGCAAATACCTACAGTTATAATGAAAAGAACTTATATTGGGGTTTATTTGACACATTGTTTTGTATTGGTATAGGCGTATAGCATGCTGTGCAATTCATGATATTGAACTTATAGGTTGACTAGATGTTGAAAACTAATGTCATCGGCACCTTAAGAAAATCATTTCTGGATATGGAATTTCTATCATCCGAGGCATATGATAGACTCACTTTTTTCCCCTCAAAATACCAGATTGGTTCATATTCTCAGTTATGTTAGTCAAGAGTGAATGTGTTATTAGGTTTTATGAATTATTGGTTTAAAATATGGTTTTTTGGCTTTGCATCCACATTTTGGGTGGGCTTATCATATGATCTGGATGGTTTGTGCTTGAAATTTCTCTATTTTATATCCTTAGCAATGGAGCTTTTATTTACCTTCTGGATTTGCATCTGTGGAATCCAATGTTTCTCTGTTTTGTTGATCCTCATTTTGTTCCAGAGGCTGCAAAGGAACATGATAAAATTAACCTGCTTACATTTCTATAATTGGTTCAACTTTACGATGAAAACATACCTGTTGATTCTGTTCTTCGAGCAATTCTGTTAGGAAAGGAATCTCCTGTAGGATGTCTTCTTTTAAACCTTTCAAGTACTGTGAATAGAGGAGTCGGATTAAAGAGGTGCCTTGAATTTATGGACAAAATTATGTATTGTCCTTGAATTGATTGTGAGATTTCATTGCTTACTTTTATCCCAAACCAATCATTGAACTGTTATTCTAATTTAAATAGCTATTAAACGTTCTTGGCTAAAACATTATCCCTGAAAATTTCCTTTCATTGGTAGATTGCATCCCTTTTGAAATTCTTTTCCCCTAAGAGTCTAGAATCGACTATAAACTGCATCCATATGGAGATTATGAAGTTTACAAACCTTCATGAAGTTAGCAATAATAATCTTTCCATCTTCACTCTGTGGTTGAACCATTTGTTTGAAATGGTGATGACTTATCCTTATAACCTGGGAGAGCCTCTTAGTTCTCACTATGAAAGGTTGGGGAATATTGAAAATTACCCCAATTTCTCCTGCCATATCTGCAGCTCCAAGTTTTGACAAAAACTGGAAGAAAAGGAAAGGCGGGAACTTGGTATAAGACAAGATATGGAAAGAAAGAAAGAGAGAGAGAGAGGTGGTTTACTTTAACATAGCAGGTGTGGCATGTGTTATGCCTTTTTCACTGTTATAATCTCAAGTAAGTAACTCTTATATTATTAATAAGCATTTGGGTCTCTTGATCAACTATCAGAAGGTCTCTTCATGATCATATGTTGTCTTTTCTCATCTATGGTATACGCAGCAATTTTTCATGTGCATTTTTTAGGCTAGAAGAAAAAGATGTCAATAATTGACTTGCTTGTATCTACTATCTACTTTCAGTTTGATATTAAAACAAGGCATCCTAACTGTGTTCATCTTTAATCAATATCTCTGTTACAAGGTGAAAATTGTAGTACTCTAATAGAGCCTACCTCCAGCCTCCAAAAACATTAGGAAAACCAAAAGCTAAAAGAAAATCTGTAATTGTTGCTCCCTTCCCATTTTTCTAAGTCAAATGGGAACATTATTTATTTTTCTGACTTCATGTTCTACTCTCGTGCTTGATGCATATTTAGACAGGATAAGGGAATTTGACCTACAATGACGTTCAAAATGCATGTAAAAAGTTGAACATACTCGTATTAGATACATTCTTGTATTTGAAACTCATACCAACACAGGGAATAGTATGCTCTAAGTCTGTAAATGCAATCATTAGGAAATTATACACTTAGCAAAAGACATACCTGCTCTGTTCCGTTCTTGTATGTCAGCAAATCCTGCAGTTTCAGAAAGCTTAGGTTTTGCATCTCAGGTTAAAGAGTAGGCATAAACATTTTTAAAAGAATGATGATATACCACTGCTCCTGAGACTAGAAGGTAGAAATCGGTTGGTATTTCGTTTTGTAAAATAATTTCAACCTTTGGAGGAAAGAATTCTGCTTTCATCTCTGACACCTGTAAGAAGAAAATACTATGAAAACTAGCTTTGTGATATCATATCATATTTTTTTCTATAGTAATGTGGACAGATTTTGATCACCATTTCATGACTGTCAGACACTGAAACATTGGAATGTAATATTGTTAGGGTGAAAGTTTCATTTTAGGTCAACAAAGCATTGTCTAGATATTAAACCCAAATTTTGGAGCCAGGTTAACTAGAACTTAAGTTTGAGATCGGGTAGGATATTGGGTGAAGTATTTGGATACAAGGATAGGAGAACAAAAATCGTCTCACCCCGACCCCATCCCTAAACCTGCACCACAGATAAAATGGGATGCTCTAAATTTGGATCCTCCTTGTGACGATATATAAAAGAAACGGAAATATTGGTACCAGTTGAGAAACAAGGTCTTCAGAGACTCCATTGAATAGGTAACTTTTCTCGACTGTACGACGGAAGAGGTGTTGGGCAATGCTAGATCTTATTGCCTTAGGCAGGTCCTGCAGCACTTCCTCTTGTTGTAACTCTGCTGTCTTGAACTTGAGTTGCATGTGTGCCAGCATTTGTTCTCTCAACCCTTCTGGAAGTCTATTTTTGCTTGCATAACGCAATAACTCATTGATGGCATCTCTCTGTTTGTGTAAAAAATGACAGCATTGGCGATATACGAGAGATTGTTCATACGATAGGCAAAGCAAGAGTTATAGTAATGAAGTCCAATCCGTTGGGTTATCAGATTCCCTGATAAAATCATCTTTAGCCTATTTTTTCTTAGCTATTTCTGGATTACTACATGATGTGTTTTCAACTCTCAGAGATCTATATAGAAATAGAAATAGATAAGACTATAACAAACATCTCTTAGAGGTCCCCTATAATGAAAGAATGAAAAGCAAGCCATTATAACACTAAAGGGTTTCAATGGAAACTTCAAGTTCATATCGATCATGTGTTGTGAACTGAATTAACTTGCTTTCATGCTGCTAATCTAATTGCTATGTTTTGTTGAAATATTTGTGTCTGACACTCGTGTTCTACACATGGATAAGTGTATATCACCCCCTAAGGATCCTCCAAATAAGCGAAACATTTTTTGAAAATCCTAACCATACCCATATTCATATACTCGTACCCATTCTCTGTAAATGCAAGGAAAGCCGGGGAGAGAAAAATACCATTGCAAAGGTTCTGACAGCAGCATGGACGACAAGGTTTGTCATGTTACCGATTATGTAGGCAGTGAGACCAATGTTGAAAAGCATATAAAGCATGTTAAATATCTTTTCTCCTGTGTTCACCGCATGCAAATCTCCATAACCAACTGTGGTGAGAGTGACGATTGACCAGTACATGGAATAAGTGTAGCCTAACCACACACTTCTGTGCTTAAAATCTTCAACCACACTTCCGAGCCATGTGTTAACTGGGTGTTTGTGGTGCACTGCTAGAAAGTAATAAACGCAAGCAGCTGTGTGAACGGCAAATACCGTGACCTGCCATTTTAGTATATTGAATTTCACTTGGAAATTTTGGTTAGATGGGATTAAAGTAACTAGGGAACCATAATCAAAGTTCATATGTTATAAAATCGAATAATATTGGTGTAAACTAATAATATTGACGACGACTCATCAAATCTATCATATATTCGTTTTAGAATTTACAAAATTTTATATTAAGATTTAGCTTGCACCAATATTAAATGTATAAAAATTTAAGTAAAACAAGAAAAGGAGAGTTAATAATACGTACGCATACTAGTTTAAGGAGTCTCGTCCAGAAATAGCTAAATCGTGTGTCTTTCTCCAGCCTAATTAAAAAATTTATTTCAAATTTAAATTTATATTGATACAAATATTCTAAGTGTCATAAGTGGTAATTATGAAAAAATAAATAAATAAAGTACAGAAAATTAGTTTAAAACATTGCATTTAGGATATATAGTGTTGTTAAGTTGGACAGAATTTTACCTTTTGAAAAGTTCACTGACACGCCAAAGACGCCATAGACGAAGCAAGTTAAGAAAACCAAAGACTTCACCGTTGTGCCATCTTCCGGTAAAGATTCTGAATACGAGTTGAAATGGCATAGTAGATGCTACATCCATAAAGAACCAGGCTCTCGTCACATATCTGAATGATGAAACCATAAAATATTATTTAAATATTACAAGACAAATATATATATATATATATAATTTTACTGTCATTAAACTTTCGAACTTGTAATTATTTAATCTAAGAGAGATTAAATAGTTTTGTACTTCATAATTTATACCTTAGACCACATACGTGAGGACCTGTTAGTTTGTGTAAGACTATATTAATTTATATGGATTTTAGAAATATCGTAAAAATTTCATGTTAAGAATTAAATAGTATTAGTTAGGTAAACAAATTTATAACATTAAATTAATAGTAAATGAAGATTGAAGAATACCGTAAAGCAATTTTCTTGTGATCGTCAACGAGGAGATAAGTGGCCTTGTCTAAATAAGCAACGAAGAATGTGAGGACGATATCAATGGCAAAGAATAGATCTACCACCAAATCAATGACCAGTAGTCCCCCTCTTGCTGCTCTTTTGAAAGCTAACTCAAAAACCGACGCCCATGCTGAGTATAGCACTAGCGCTACCAAAAAAGTTTGCCACCATCTGCACCAATATCATTTTAACAAGTTGATCTCACACTTTAATTTTAAGATATTAAATCGAATTTAAATATAAAACAATCTAATTTTCAAGATAATAAAGATTGAATTAGATTTGAATTATAAAAATCGTCGTACGCATACCTAGTTCATCTTCTCTTTTCATAAGAATTTATTTTAATATTTTTATCATATTTAGATTTAATTAATTTATACTAGATCATAAATTTATTTCACATTATAACTACTGTATAATTTTAAAAAATAAGCAAATATTTAAATAAAATGATAAAAAAATATTTACAAATCTACCGATCTAATTGATTTTATCGATTTATATTTTAAAATAATAAACAACGAAGATAATTACTCACCATCAGTTCATATTCCTAAATTATGACCCATTTTGAACACCTAATGTAAGTCAAATCAAAACTAAAACAGGCAAAAAGGAAGATTAACGGCAGGGCAGCATACGGGAAAGTTCCCAAGTCCCAATAGCCAAAGAAACTCCCATCATATTTCAAGTGCATAAGAGATAATAAATCATGTTTAAATGATTTTTTAATTATCAATTAATATAGAATAATTATTAAAATTATCAAACGATTATAAAATATCATTAAATATTATTAAATTTATTGATTTTTTATAATTACAAAATAACGTAATATATATTTTATAATTGTTTAAAGTTTTTAATATTATCAACAACCAGTTGATCTAGTGGGATGAGGTACTAGAACCTTTAAGCAATGTTCAAATCCTGACATTTGTGAATGTAGCAAATTGGGTTGGGAGGGTCGTCCTTACTTCTGTAATATCCGATTTAGATTAGTTGATTAATAAATCGAAAATTAGTGAATATACCAAAAAAAACTTTTTGATATTATTTTATATTAAAACACACTCTAATCAAAATAATCATTTGAATATAGGTGAAAAATCTATAATACACGTTATTTGTATTTCAGACTACAAATCTCAAAAATGAAAACTTCATAATCATTTTTAAGAAGGGTAAATTATATTGCTTCTTGCTGAACTATACTCTCGTATTTTTCTCACTCAACTTTCAATTTTTTTAATTTGTTCACTGAAATTTAAGAATTGAATCAATTTGCTCACTCTGTTGTTAACTATTTAATAGTGTTATGACATTACACAATGAATAGCATAAGCATCAAAATGATGTCGTTTTGAAAAACTCAAATGATGGTGGTTGTTTGATCCCAAATTTCATTGGTCGATTCATCTCGACCCCTTAAGTCCAAATTCGGTGGTTGTTTCATCAGAAAATGTCTCAAAATCCGTGAATCTAGACTAAAACATTTCGTCTTCCTCACTTTTCATCTCAATTTTTGTCACTAAGTACGAGAGCTCTAAGGCAGGAGCTTTCCAAAAAGAGTTAATATGACACAAGAATACTTATCTATCGATCATCTATCTATAAAACATGCTTCTAACGTTCCTCCCTTGCAGCTAACTAATGGCAGCCCCTTTCTTTCTCATGTTTACCGTATTATTACTCTTCAACTAAATTTTTCGACCGAACGATCACCATCTATGACGATCGACGGTGGCCGACAGTGGCATCCGACCACCTTCAATTTTTTTTTATTTTCTCAATTATTTTGTATTAAAAAAATAAAAAAAAAATGACACGTCATCAAAATGTTAGAGAGATAAAGGTCAAGTGACCAAATTGATTCAATTTGTAAAGTTCAGTGAGCAAATTAGAAAAACTAAAAGTTGAATGATGAAAATAAAAGAGAAAATATAATTCAGTGAGGAACATGCAATTTACCCTTTTATCGTATAAATAGTATGTGCAGAAACCATATAACCCTATCTAGCCATTTCTCTAACCATATTTCATTAGAAATACATATATCTACCATATAAGCTATAACCTATTCTATTAATGATAGCGGTTGGGGGCATATAAACATTTTCTTGTAGCCTACATCAGAGACAACTAGAATTTAATGATAAGAGAAGGATTTTTAAAATTTTAGAATGTAATAAATTTATAAAATTTTAAAGAGAGTAAAAATAAATTATTAATAAAAAAATATTTAAATTATATAATAATCTAAAATTTTTAGACAATACTGACATCTCTATCTGCCCTATACTCGATCAATCTCTAGCCTAGATTCCGGTGCCTAATTACGAGATCCGCAATTTAAGAAACTTTAGCTTTTATTGAGGGCATAAAGCATCTCTAATCTCTTTGCCTCCCGCCCCTCCCTTCTTTTCCTTAATTTTCGAAGATAAGATGTGAATCAACTAACCTAAACTTCAATTCTATTGTTTAGTTTCGGTTAAAATGTAGTTTAAGGTTTTATGATTTGTCAATTTTTCTGAATTTGAATGGATTTTTACATTGATTCTTAAGTTCTTTAACCATATTAGTCCTTGTTATTGTATTATGTAAGTTAATTTTGGGTCTGTTTAATAATACTTTTTAAAAGTTTTTTTCACTTAAAAAACTCATTTTGACCGTAAAATCAATGTCAAATGAATAAAAAATGAAAGAAAAAAATTAAGGTGGAAACGATTATTTCAAAGCAATCGTAAAACCTAAGATTTATAGTTTTTTCATTTTCAACTTTACGTTTGGAAACAAATTATAATTGTACTCTTACTAATGTATAAATTCCACTCAATTATGTATTTAACTTATAATTTCATACTAACATCCTTAAAAATCTAATTTATTATTTAATAATTTATTTTAATTAATTAAAAGCAATAAAATTCATGGTTTATATATTAAAATATTAATAGAGAATTATTATAAAATATATTTTTAATTTACAACATAGTATCTATAATAGATATTTTCTCTTCAAACTCACTTTTTAACAGCAATTTCGAATAGTTAAAATTTAAACTACATTTTTATACAACACTTTTAAAAGTTTATTACTATAGCACTTTTAAAAATCACTTTTAAAAAAATATACCAAACTGACCCTTAATTATGTTATTTAACACCGTTCACTCAAAATATGTATATAATAAAAATAATAGAAACTTGACATGTGAATTTATCATCAAGAATAAATATTCATAATAAAATGGAATTCAAATAAAATTGATTTATTTTAAATAATTAATTAAAAACCCTCTTTATTCGACTAACTCTGGAATTAAAGGAGAAAAAAACCGAGTGTAATCTAGTTCTCTAACAAGCTGTGGATGCACTTTACCATTTCAGTTGGACGAATAAATTTACTTATATTTGCTCCATTACCAGAACTATCATGCACTAACTCATAACTAGCCCTTCATTCGTCAAATTAACTGGCTAATTAGATTTGACGAAAAATAAACATACCTTGTTGATTTTTTTTGGCAAAAAAATAATAGTGTTAACTATTAAATTATAAATTTTGTAAAAAAAAAAGAGAGTTTTTAATTGTTTAAGCAGGACTAAATTCCAAACTTCACTAATACACAAGGATTGATGTCATCTTTACCACGAGGATATTCATATTAAATTAATTTGATTCAAACTACTCTAATGGCGCCACATATGCAAGCTGTCCAAGTATTCTTGAAAGGCAAGAAAAAGATGAAAGCTTGAAGAGTAACGGCAGTGAGAACATATATGGCAATAAATCAAGAATAAATTAACTTACCGGTATCTATGATCGTAAGGAACGATAACGTATTTCTTGAGGTTCAAGTATCCGTCGTCGACGACAGTTCCAAACGCTGGCAAGAGACTACTCGAAACGGTGGCCAAATTCTGCATCTCGCCGCTTGACCGTCGCCGGAAAAGTAACGGTAACGGCGATGATCCTACATCCGTCATTGTCGCCATGACCTTTGAGAGTCTGGAGAGATCAAAACAAGGCTTCCCTAGCTGCTTGTTGATTTGTTTATTTAAGCGATAAGTCTTGGGGCTTAAATAATTAGAAATGTGAGGAGGGAGAAAATGTCTTGGATTAAGATCATTACAATATTATGGAAAGGTGACAATGAGCTTTCTGACTTTGAGATTCATATTTTAATTAATGGGTTTGATTAATAAAATAATTTAGTTCGATTTTGGAATTTGAAAATTCGATACAAATGGCAAATTTAAGCTCTCGGAGTTGGAAATCTTACAATTTAAAACCAATTGATGACTCTGTTGTTCATTGAATTTTGCAGCCTCTCTACTCTCTACTTGTTGTAATTTGTAATAAAATATAATTTAAGCAATTCCTTTATTGAAACGTAGACATCTTCGCGGGCCTGGGTCGGTTACATTTCGAATTTTTCTATTGGGTACAACATGTTAGAGGTCTCAAAGTTTACGAACAAGTGGTTGTTTTAGCCATTGAGTCTTTAAAAATTATAAAATAGTAATTAAAGGTATTAAATTATTATAAAATTACCATTATATTATTTTTATAATAATATTTGATAAACTGAATAATTTCATTGTAATAATTTCATCATTTTAATGATCATTTTATAATGTCACAGTAATTAAGTTTAATGATTAATATAAGCATTTGATCATAGTTTAAGGATCTCTAATGTATTTTACCCTTTTATGTTTTACATAAGTCAAGTTGATTTAAAAAAATCAATACATCAGATTACAAATATCATTATATATATATTAACGATAATTCTAAAGATTGTATTTAAATACTTCTTAGCAAGATTTAATGCCAAATGCAATAACTGGTAATTTTACACGAGTCTAATTGTAGGAAAATTTAATTAATGATTTTTTAATTTTATAATATACAAATGTTTGGTGCACAAATATATTTTTGGAATTGAATACATAGATAATTATTTGAAATTAAAATTTAATGTACATCAAACTCATCAAATGATTTCAACGGTTAATGTTTGTTATTTTCTTTAGAGGTATTGGATTCAAACAGCTATGTGACAGTAAAGTATGTACGCGTTGCCGATAGTTAAGAAAAACAAATATTATATGGTAATCACTTTCATACTACTAAAACTAATTTAATGTCGATCAAAATTAAAATAATATTATTTGTTTTATATTATATACTTGATTAATCGTAAGTATTCGTTTTTAAAATTTACTTATTTCATAATTTTGATTTTATTTGATGTAATTTTTTTATTATTTTGACTTATTTATTGTTTATAATTTTTTTAATAAAGTTGAATATGATAAGTTGATGATGATGATAATAAAAATACTGGTACAGTTATATCAATCACACGTCGCGTTAGTGCTCGCATGCAACAAAACGTTAGAACGAGTATTTTTGTACAAAATTGAAGGTTGCAACATGTCGAGTTTTAATTGGATAAAGGCCACCGGAGGCCGCAACTTAAAAGTTGGTGCCTACGTGAGCTTCGACGTGTGAGGAATATTGACTTTTTGGCTCTCTAATGTGGGTAAAGTGAGGTGACATTTCGGTGAACAATAAACAACAACTGCCTCTAGTTGATATGATTAAAAATGTGACATATATGTTTTATTTTGAAAATAAATTATATTAGTTACATCAATTAAATTTATGAAATACATTTATAATTTCATATTAAATCTAAATCAAATAATTAATTATAAATTAATTTAATTATATCGAGGGACAGAGTTAAGATATTAGTTCAAATAAATATAATTAATCATAAAAAATAAAATGATAAAGTATAATTTACCATTAAAAATTAAAAGATATAATTTGATATTTACACATATATTTTTTTAAATTATAAAAAAATAAAGGGCAATGACCCCCTGGGACGAGGAATAGCTTCATCCCTGATTATATCTACATAAACTATAAAATTTACTGAAATTATTTTTTATATATTTTTATCTGTTAAATCAATTTAATTAAAAATTAGATAAAAAAGTATTATTCTTCAAGAATGACACACGATTTTATATCAAAGAGTGTGAACTTAAGAAATTATATTAAAGATATAGAGGTGCAAACTTATAAAATTTTAAAAGATAAAAATTTAAATAAAAAATAAAAAATTCAAAATAATATCTAAACTAAATGAAAATTTAAAATTTTAAGAGACTGGAATTACATTCACCAACACTTCTCAATTCATCTTGTTATTATGTCTTACAAGTTTATTAGACTTGGGTTAACTTCAAAATCATACATTAAAAAAAATATTTAAATACAAATAAATAACTAAATAAGAAGATAACCCACCTAGAGTTGGAACTGGACAGCCTCGATGATGTTCGCATATTGCAGAATAAGAGAATACAACAACGAACGTGGAGTATCGTACTGTATATCAAAGAGGAAAAAAAAGGACTGGAGTACACGCTCTTCCGAACAGTAACTGAGTGGCCGACCTGCTAGCCAAACATGCGAAGCCAACAGACCTAGACGTACACTGGTTAATCAACTCACCACCGGAGGTGGCTAATCTGATCCAGAAAGAAGAAACATGAGATAGTTGAACGCCGAAGTCCATTCTCTTTGCTCAACAAAAAAAATAAAAATAAACTATAATCAGATATAGTGATTAATTAAAATAATAATAAAGACAAACTATAAATAACTCAAATCAAACCAACTGTGTTGTTGGATTTAGACCATGTGTTAATTTTCAGGCCATTATTTTACAAACATAATTTCCTTTTAATATTATATATCTAACTAAGCTATTAAAAAACCTAAGATAAGATAAATATAATAATTTAATAATAAAAAATATTCATTACATATAGTAAAGTTTAAATTTTATTAATTATAAATCTTAAAACTTAAAATATTAAATATTAAATTCTAAACATTCTACACTATAAGATTTAAATCCTAAAATTTAAAATAGCATATAAGAGTTAAACAACCAAATATAAAATTTTAAAGTTTAAAATTTTATATTTTATTTGTGTCAAAAATGTTCTTTAATAATTATACGCTCATGTAATATTAAAATTTAATTTATTATACAATTTGACTAATAAAATGTAATTATATTTTGATTATATATTATTTTTAATAATAAAAATTATAATTACATAATAAAATCATCATCAATCAATCAATTTAACAGAACGTTTTAAAGATTCGATTCGATATATAAAGAAACTCGCATCGTTAATCCATTGGTCCATCTCTGATCTCTCATTCCCTTGTGCTGTCGACATTATGAGCTAACTATGCATGGGCTTCATAAATACAATACCCAAATACCCAATCCATCCCTCCAATTCATCACCCGAATCCCAAACATTGGTCCGGAGATTACTCATTCTTTCAACCCAAAGCGTTCCCTCCACGCGACCTCCACCAGGCACGAGCTGCTTTTTTATATAGTCAGCTGAGCTCAACAACAACTCAGATTTAACTCCATTACTCAGTTGCGTTTCCAAGATCAGACCACAGTGAAATGCAGTCATTGCAGGAAAAGGCTTCGGCTTGGAGCGGCGTTGATGCTGCCGATGCCTTTGCCATCGACGAAACTAATTTGTTCCAGAAATTGGGACTCCAGACTTTCATCAACCTCTCTACCCATTTTTACACTAGGCATCTTCATCTTCTTCTTCGTTTTCTTCCTTTTCTTTTAATGGGTCTTTTTGGTGATTTTATTGATCGTCTGCGTTGGAAATTAGGGTGTATGATGATGAAGAGGAGTGGTTTCGATCAATATTTGCTAATTCCAAGAAAGAAGAGGCCATTCAGAACCAATATGAGTTCTTTGTGCAACGAATGGGAGGGCCTCCTCTTTATTCCCAGAGGAGAGGTTAGAATTTCCATGTTTACATTTCTTTTGTATCAATTTTATTATCCTTTTTTGCGTGTATGTCTGTGTGTTTGCTTATATTTTCAAATCTTCCTGGTTGATTTGGAGCTTGTTTTATTAACATAAGAATTCAAGAATAAATAATTGAAAGGAAAGAGCTTTGGGTAAGTATTGGAATAGGGAATTTCAATTATTCAACAGTAGAAGAAGTTGAATCCTTTCTTGATTGACGAGGACCAGAGCGAGTCAACATAAATTCAATCATACCCTGGTTTGGCCTTTTCAGGAGATCGTCTTTAACGAAATGTATGCTTAACTTATGCTATTCGGTTGGAATTGAGTGTGAGTACGAATCTGGCCATACGTTTGTCGTGAGCATGTTCAATATGTTCTAAACTTTTCATGTACTTGCAGGAATATTTCCCATATTCATGCTCATGCTAGGATATGAGTTCGACACGAAAGTTGGATAGAATACTTGGATTGATATAATGCTTAACTGACTTACAAATCAACCTCCATGCAAATTGTAACCTAAAATATTTTGGCAGTTACATAGTGTTCTTGATTTTGATACATTAGGGTAAACAAAGAGAAGGGATGACCATCTATCGTTGGGACTTGGATCATTCCCTTAATTTTAGTGTCAAGTTCTGGACAATTATGTGTACTTGATAGGAATAGGAGAAGGGATTCTTTAATATTACACTCTTTAATAGCTATATGTTTAGTCTTCCTTTATGCAAGTGATAGAAGGATAAATTATCCTTATTAAAAACTCCTTTATGCCCATAAATCAAGGAGAATATTGTTTCAGGCTACTAGAAAGAGTTCTCATTGTTATTGGAATCAAGGTAAGTTTTGGGTACTATTAACAATTTAAGTTTTTGAGGATCATACTCCCTCGCTTGCGCACACGCATATGGATATGTGTTGAACATAGATACTTCAAAGAAAATAAAGAGTCTGGATAACATAGTTTTCCTGTCTTTTTCTTAACAATTTGTTGAGTTCGTCTTACACTTCTTGGCAGGCCATCCTGCATTAATAGGACGTCATAGACCATTTCCAGTCACTCATCAAGCTGCAGAGAGATGGTTACATCATATGGAAAAGGCACTGGAGAGCACCCCAGACATTGATGCTGATTCAAAAGTCAAAATGATGAATTTTTTCAGGTAACGTAACATATTAGCTCTTCTTTAATTCTCGTGCTTCCTTTGCATATGTGCGTGACAGTGAATGCTTGTCATCTTATTGTTGTTCAAATTCATGATGACATTATATTGTCTCTTCTTTTTGCTTTTCAGGCATACTGCTTATTTTCTTGTGGCTGGAGATGAGTTGAAGAATAAAAAACAAGAACCTTCATGTAAATGCAAACATGGGGGCTGCAAATCAGCTGCACCGTAAACTTAACTTAGTAACAGGAATTCCCCCATTCCTCTGTTGGGAGAAACCATGGATATTACCATCTATGAAACTCCTCAGTATGATAGCGTTGTATGAATAAAATCCCGAACTTTTTGCAGAATTTACTTATGGAGATGAGTTGAAGAATAAAACAAGAACCTTCATGTAAATGCAAACATGGGGGCTGCAAATCAGCTGCACCGTAAACTTAACTTAGTAACAGGAATTCCCCCATTCCTCTGTTGGGAGAAACCATGGATATTACCATCTATGAAACTCCTCAGTATGATAGCGTTGTATGAATAAAATCCCGAACTTTTTGCAGAATTTACTTAAGATATTGATGAAAATGTTATTGGTATCATATTTGATCTGGATGATTTGCCCCCAACTTCATAAACATCAGAGTAGGTACGAGAATAGTCCGACATTGTCTGAATAGCCACGAAAGGCGAATGTTAATACTTCTCTCGCACGTGAATATCTCCGTAGGGAGTGCTTGGATTGGGAGTGCGCTTGTGGAGTAAACGAGATTTTCTCTTTCAAGCTATAACGAGATTCAACTATAATAAGTTGTTGGATGCTTGGATGTATTGCTTTAGATGAGTCCCAAGCTTATCAAATTGTGAATACCTTGTACGACGTTTCATTAGAAGCCATATAGAGTACAGGGATAGGAGGGTCGAATAATATGCATGATTGAAATGGAACAAACTGATTTAAGAGGATCATTCCCTAAAAGATTTTTACAATATTCGTTGATCAAGATACCAATAATTATTAAATATAGATACAAATCAAATAATTATTGTATTTATTTTTAACAAAAAATATTAATTTAAAATCATTTAAAAATTGGATCAATAATATTAATTTTAAAATACAAATATATATTTAATAAAAAGTGAAATTAAAAAATAAATTTGTAAATTATAAAACAATATAAATCATTTAAATATTGTTTAAAAACTTCATAACAATTTCTTAGAAATATATAAATTTAGTCATAAAAATATTAAGCTAACATACACGAGTTAGGTGTTAAACATGTACAAATACTACGGGACCTTCCAATTTTCCTCGTATTATATTGTCACGTTGACTAAAAGAATAGCAATATATAATCTCAAAATACAAATCAAGCACAATTATCTCACAAAACCATTAAATACAATTCTAAACTTTAAGTTATTTTATTTGGTACCGAGTAATCCATACATTTTGTATTTTTTTATTTAATTCCTTCCAATATAAAAAATTGCAAAATGAATAGCAACAAATATGTAAAGACCATTTTCATCGTGTATTTTCCAAATATCAACTAGTCAATTTTCCCCCCGATTAGTTTGAAGTGAATATAATGTAGTATATATTCGAAAGACTTTCAACAATTTAAAAATAAATGCTCATAACCTCACACGCCCTTACAAATGTTATACTCAAACCTGAAATCTCAAAAGATAACAACAATTCATTAAGTATTAAGGTCACTTGGTTCGTGCGACTACATAATACTATTCAAAAATTGAATTCTGTGGTTAAAAACAAGATAATACTATTCAAAATTTGGTGAGGCAAAGAAGATCAAGAATGGTGCACGCAAAATTGTTCTAGATAAAGCTGAAGAGGCCAGGGCCGCTGCCTTCTCAGCTTTTAAATCACTTGGATATAGCATCCCACAATTTTCTCGACCTTTGATATTGAATGGAAGTCCAGGAGGACAAGAAGCTGCAAGTAGCAGTCTTAGGGATGACTCTCCTCACAATTTTCTTCACCTAATGAAGGACTAATGCTGACAAAATCCTCAGATGATAACTTAGTGGTTTTGGAAGACGTAAACTTAGATACTATCTTGCAATCCAACATAGTTTTGGAAAATCCTACAGCTGTAACTGGTGACACAGGCAATGCTGCAGTTGAACAATGTAGAAGTACAAAAATGGCAACTGTTGGTGAATATCCGTATCATGGAATGCAGGATAGGCTTAATGAAGATCTTTGTGTTGGCACCGCAGATGGTGCTTGTGGGAAAGGTCCTCTAAATGCGGTTAATACTCCAGGTGGATTTGATTCTTTCCTGGAGCTGTGGGAGACTGCAGTGCAATTCTATTTTGACATTCACTTCAACAGAAGATCAGAAACAAATTATGTTGCTCCCTTTGAGATACATGGCATTGCAATCTGTTGGGAAAATTCTTCTGTGTACTATATAAATTTTCCCAAGGATTTACTTTGGTTGTACAATAGAAAAAACAATTTCTTATCAACAAGTGCATCTAGTGATAAACGTAACAACCTACCCCCTGAGCATCTGTTGGAGATGGCTAAACTGAGATGGAAAGAGAATTGGTGATATAATGGGAAAAAGTGGTGTCCGCAAAGTTACATGGAACTTGAAAGTGCAAATTCAAGTTCTTAAAAGTCCGGCAATTTCTATTCAGAGATTTGCTGGCATGCATCTTGGAGGGGAAGATAGGGGTCTAGAAATTATTGACAACTCATGCTTGTTATTACCACCAGTTCTGCTTAATGATGGAATTGACATGTGCATTGCAGCGTGGATTCTTTGGCCGATGAGGAGACAAGCTCTAGTCCCAACCTTGATAAGGTATTCACTATGCCCGTAACAGAAATTAACAAATTTGGGTTATAGATTTACATAGTTCTTAATGTTAGTTTTAAATTTCCATTTTAATTTGGGCTAGCCCAACGTATAAGTAGACCTTGAAATTGTTAAGACACTTATTCTTCAAGTAAGGTTTTAATAAGTTATTGTGATCTATTAGGAAGTAAAGAAAAGGCTACCCAATGAGGCTGCTGCAGCTGCTAATCAGAGTGGCAGGTGGAAGAATCAAATGCGGAGGGCTGCACATAATGGTTGCTGCCGTAGAGTTGCTCAAACACGTGCCCTATGTTCTGCTCTTTGGAAACTACTCGTCTCTGAAAAACTTATTGAAGTGTTTACATATATTGAAACGCCATTGGTAAACTCTGCTATACATTTTTCAATCTTTGAGAGACATATTAGATCTAGGTTTGGTGTCAATTCTTTGGTGGTAGGTAACTCTTTAAGAAGAAACCATGGTTGAATCCAAATGTCTTCGAACTCTTTAAGAAGAGTAACTCATAATGAAGAAGCTTTGAAGTTCTTTCTGAAAATGTTATCATACCTAATCACCGATTGTACCAATGAGAAGCTGCTTTGAAGTTATACCCTTCGCAGTTGAGGTCACTGCCATGGCTTTCACAGAATGGCTGAAAAATTAGGACTGTGATTTTGTTATAACCTCTGGCCGAGAGTATAGAGAAATCGGTGAAGTAAGGTTGTGCTTTCCAAGAACAAGCTTCCAAATGTCTTTGTTGATCTGTGAGTGTATTTAAGTTGGAAAGGGATAAATTTAACTGAATTAACGATACAGACAATTCAACACAAATGATACAAGTTCATCCACTTACAGCCCGAGATTGGTCATATATTTCAATGACTGAAATCTCATATCTGTGCGCTCGAAGATTGAAGTAGTGGTAGACAACCCAGTTCTCACTAAAAACCTACAATAAGGAAAAGCAATATCAATAGTATTCCTTTCATTGCTGCTTATGACACCAAAATGAGACAATAAATGAAAACTTACAGCATGAACAGGGCCCTGTGAACCATGATGGGTCACTCAGTGCAATATTCGACCCGTTACAGTGTCAATAAGATATGCAACCAACCATGCTTGTTCTGGTGTAACAGATCCAATTTCACCGCTGCCTTTGGGCGCGATAGTAGCCACAAAAAGTGCATTTCTTGATATATATTTATATATGACATCCTGGTCTGCTATAACCTTTGTTTGAGTAAGTACCACCTAGAAAACTCAAACCAAAAGACAATAAATATGGTTTATACATGCACTATACACAAGGCACCAATAAACACTCAAACAGACAAAAGAACATGCACAATTGGGAACGAACCACATTTAGCTGTCCTTCATAACCCCATTAACCACACGACGTTAAAGCACGGGAAAATCATATAGAAACCATTTTTAAGAAAATTAGAAGTCAATGTGAGTCTCATACTATGGTTAAAAACCTAGGGTTGAGAAGTGCATAACAAAAAGCTTTACTCATGAGAGCAGTCAATTCATGCAGTAATGCAGTACAATGCAACTAAGTCCACAAATTCCTCCCAAGGGCACCATGCTGGTTGACAAATAAGCAAAAAACATTGAGAAAAAACATCGGGGTTGGGATTGGGGTAGAGGGGGAGAGCTTTACCTCATTCAATTTTCTAGTGACTGTGGCAATGATCTTTTCTGATTCAGAGGGAAACACAACCGACCACAATTCCCTAGTGTCAAAGCAGAAATCATCAGCCACTTCGCCAGAGCCCATGCTCTTCAATGCATGACCCTTGATTATGCCATTATCATCCTCAACAGTGTACCAGTATATGTTTGAAACTCACGTTTGAAAATACTAATAGCCTCAGGAGATTTGGGGTATAAATGTGCATGCTTATCAGCATCAATTAGCAGGTGGAGTCGCTGTTCTGTTGAATCTGTATATGGCAGTGGAATAACTTGTGCAACAGAATGAACATGACTTAAAGAACTAAGTTCCTTTCCTGTGTAAGTGTCAACAAAGGAAAGAACACCTGGTGCATTTGAACTTGGACCACACTTTCCAACTACAAGCACGGATGGATTTTCATCCATAGCATGATGATGAGGAACTTGCCAATGGTACAAGTTTAGTCCTATAGGATGTTGACACACCTCTGATTTTTGTAAACTGTAACAAGTGAGACCAGACAATGCGTCCATCTCCGGTATGCAATGAATAAATCTTCCCTGGCCTTGTTAGTATTATGAGCAGCTTCCGGAAGCCATTGTGATCTCGAGTCATTTTGCTCTTCTCAGAACTTTTTAACCTCATACTTTGAATGGCTGCTATATCCTCGGGGCTTGCAAACATTAGAGTTCCCTTGAGCCTCAGCATATGTCCCTTAAGAATAAGAGCATCTTGTCAAAACCAAATTTTCAAAGAGGGTTTAAGAATAAAAGAAATGTGTCTGCGAGTCCATTTGAAATAATGAATAGAGTTATAGAAGCTTTGAGCATTTGTAGGAAGTAAGCTCAAACACACACACATATGATAACTCAACATGTATGAGAAACAAAATCAATATTTAATTATCTATTCACCTGTTAAGAGAAATGAAAGAGTTATCATGCAGTCAACTGACACCTTCAGTTAAGATGTGAAGAACAAACATGTTTTTCACTAATTACATAGTAACATTCTTGAAATCATCTTATAAGATTCGTATTTCATACCTTAAGCCATTCAAATTGGTTGTGCTCCACTTTTGCAACTGATACACCATCCCTTTCCACAGGGAGTACTGAAGTTGTTATATCAATTACTGATGCCAGCCCATCTTCCCTACTCCAGACAATCTCACCTTGTTGCAATAACAGTAATGAATGATCTTCCATCACAACCAAGGCCCGAAATCCATAAGACCTATCAGTTCTGATATAACTATTGACGAGAATTTTGTGGACCAGCCCCCGTTGCCGGTCTATTTTAAGGCTTTCTTTGAGCAAATTATCAACCCAATTGTGCGCAAGCTTTACTGAGAGATGAATCTCGTGGCCTGCATGTTGAACCAGTCCAAATGCTTGTTAGCCCTCTGAGACTGAGAGAGCATCACTAGCAGCTGTTTCATAATTTGTTTTTTCCACTTCTAGCCTGTGCTCATCTATCACGCTGATAAATATGGTGATTGAATTCATTTTAATTGCAAATATTCCTGAAACTGATGAAGGTATTATTTCTGCAGGTCCCAAGGAATCTTTGACAAGATTAGAAAGGGGTGTCTGTTGAAAACTAATCTTTCCATTTCGAAAACTTATTGTTAGCAGAGTTGACCCTTTGGAATCAAGGGCCACAACTGGCTCACTGGAAACTAGTGAAACTTCTCCCAAAAACCCATCAGAAAAGGAAGCAGTTTCATGCTTCAACTGAAACCTCTCCATTCATGGCATTGATTTGATACATATCAAACTGAGATGAAGCAGCCAATCCTACAACGTATACCAAATTACTTCCTGGAGGCTGAATTACCTGCTGAACATTGAGACTGCAAGTAGCATGTAGATGTACATCAATGATACCTTCATTTTGAAAAGGTAGCAGACAGGGGAGGAAGCTATTGAAACATAGTATATTGTAATTGGACTAACCTTTCTTCTTCAAAATCCTTCCTCCAAAGAACCTCCCCATCTATGCAAGAAACAGCATTGAGTCGACCATTGCTAAAAATGATAACTACGTTATCCTTTTCAATTTTCAAATTTGTCTGCAAAAAATTGATTTAGTATGAAGTCAATTAATAATAGATGCTTCTAGAATTACAGAATGAATTATATAATTTCACCGCACACCACCAAATACAATTTCAAGTGGCTGGTAAAAATCATCATTTTTCCTCTTCCTTTGATTGTTTGATTGGTGACCCATCTGTTGCTGACCATTGTGGGAGCCATAAGAGATTGGATTTATCTCGGTCTATTTGGGTTCCGCCTCCTGTGGGATTCTTTAAATTGAATGTTGATGGTGCAGTCAGTGGTGATTGGCTAAAAGGGGGCATTGGCGGGATTCTTAAAGACTCAGGGGGTTTACTGTTGGGGTCCTTCTCGGAGGCTGTTGGTCAGGGTCCTCCTGCAGTAGCTGAATTGTTGGCAGTTAAAAGGGGTTTGATGTTTTTTATAGAATCTATATGGTGTAATAAAGGGAGGCTAATATTAGAATGTGATTGCCTCTCAGTGGTGAATTGGATCAAAAACCAGGGTGGCTGTTCTGATTCGTTGAGTCTTATTTTGAAGGAGATTGTAATTTTAGTTAGGGATAGAGATGTGATTGTTAGGCATATTTCCAGAGGGTTCAATTGGGAGGCAGACAAACATGCTAAAGAGGGAATTGGTTGAGTGGGGTTTGTGTGTAGGAAAGAGAGGTTGGTTATGGGTGGTTTTTGTGTATGTTTGTTAGTGGTAGTAGTATGGTGTATGATGTAAACTCTAATGTAATATGGTTATATTCAATAAAATTTTGAGACACTCTTTTCCTCCTTCCAATGTCCTGTGAAATAGCGTATATTTCATAGGTTATGAAGGGGGGTTTTAATGAGGTCTCCCATTTCTATCAAAAAAAAAAAAAGTGGCTGGTAAAAATGCAAGATATAAAATTCTATTGGAAGAAAAACGATACAAAAAATAATAGATAGATAAAATTTATGGAAATAAGAAATACTCAACAAAGCACACTTCCATATATGTATTTGCCTTGTTCTACAGGATGTGCTACAACAACTAAAAATCTTTTAGATTAAAGTTTAACTAGAATAATCTTGATTGTATAACAGAACATCTAACAGAGCGCAGAAAGGAAGAAATTTCAGAAACCATGATCCACTGCAAACAGACTCTCTAGCAGAGAATACAAAGAAAAAATTATGTTAGTTGGAAAGATTATGGAAAATGAAAATTCTGATGCTAACCGGCACTAATAACAATGATTTTGAGTGCTTTGGTCCCCGAAGGGGAGATTCCCAAACCATCTGCCCATCAGGATGATTCCATGCTCTCAAAGTACTCCCTCCTGATGAAAGGGTAATGACATCTACAAGAATGAAATTTATTCAAAACATAGTCGGCTATAAAAGCAAGAGGTCACACCTTCCAATTGCTGACACCAGAAGGAGAAACCAACAAAATATCCAATCAGTGTTCAACAAAACAAGTTAGAAACCAGACCAAGTAATACAAGAACTAAAGGCACGCAATAGAAACAGGATCAAGTAATAAAGAAGTAAGAACAATAAAAAACTAAAGGCACACAAGTATTTTTTTTTTCATCTTCTGTAAAAGTAAATCGGATATGAGCATACGTACACTTCCCGAGAGCAATATCAATTCCATCAATAACATCATTAGACCCAAGCACATGTCTCCAAACTACATAAAAGAATTAAACAACCAGCCATAAACCAAACATGAATACAATAGGAATTGAAACAAAAACCAAAGAAAATTATAAATAAACTAATTCACTTGAATTAGACTTACAAATCTCTCCATGGCGGATATCAAGTGAAGCTACAACGTTCTCTTCACTACGACTCGTTTCCGACCAGTTTTTTGAGTGTGGAACACAGCTTGCTTCACTTTCCCGATATATTGTTGATGCCTAAGATTAAAAAATTAATTAGAAAAAAAACATGAAGAATTAAAGCTAAGCTTGAAACGTAATCAATGAAGTAACTAAAAGATAGCAAGAATTGTTAAATGTGAATTTGAATCAAGAAGTTGAACTTACCAATCCATAAGGCCTACTTGATCTTCGTAAAGTGAAAGTATCGGATTTAATAAAGATAAACAGAACAGAAGAAAAGGAATAATAAAAGACCGAATCGCCATAGCCATGGCGATGAAGGAATTAGCTCTATTTGTCGAAAAGGAAAGACAGACAGGTCTAGGTAACTCGGAGGACCATCGACTGACGACTCCGACTCATGGGCCTGGGCCTGGGGCTGGAACCTGAACTCCATTTTACTATTCAATAAAATAAGGGCTAATTTCATTTTGGTAGAAAAGATGTTGATTTTATCAATTTGGTACTTGATTTTTTGAAAAAAACAACTTAATTTCTGAATTTGTGATTTAGTTATAAATAAATCAATACATTTATCATAAAAGTAATATATGATTAAATTCAAAATTCAAAATATTTAAAATGTATTTAAATGGAATAAAAGTTAAAAATTTTCTTTGATAGTATTTGAAATAAATTTAGAAATTAAATATTTTTATAATTTAATACTCCAACTAAAAATGTATAAAATAGTAGGGGGAAAATTCTCTTTCAGAAAATGAGGCATATCAGGTATCTCATTCACATGTATACATGTGCTCACCACTATTGCGGTTTATTTCACTCTGGCCAAGCAAACATGGGACAAAAGTAGAGCTGTAATGGAGGGCCCTGTTTGTATTGGAACTCAAGTCATTGGTTGGCATCTAAACAGAATAAGTCGGAGAGTCCGAAGGTTCCATGTTGAAACGTCGGGGTTCGCCTTCAATGGTAAAATGAAAATGAAAATAAGTATATATTGCTTTTAGTTCTCATTTTGGTTCTGCTTTAGCTGTTCTTTAGAGTAGAACTGAAAGCCTTTTTCTTGGACTATCCGCGTCCGAGTCCGACACACGCGCTCAATGTTTGCTCATATACAGGGTTTTCCTTCGAACATCAGGGATTCAATTCCAGACCTTCATTAATGGCTATTCCTTAATAAAATAACGAGGTTTTCTTTTTTGGCTAGCCTTTTGTTTCGACAAGCTTGGTTCAGAATAAGAACTACCAAATGGAACTAATATAAGAAAAACATAACTGAACTACCAACATAAACATTGTCTTAAATTTTACTGGAAATGATTAGCTTGAAGCTTCTTCTCAACCCACGAAGGAGACAACACGGGGCTCATGTCGTATTCCGCCGTTGTCTTCTTCTTCAAATTGTTTCGATCTGCTAAATCGAAACAGGTTTTCTCTTCGGGCATGACCTTGACCCTCCATACCTTGAATGTTTGATCCAAGCTAGCGCTGTAAACCAAAAATCCCATCACAATTTTCTCCATTTGTAAACAAGCAGTTAAGCATCTAACAGGCCCTCTATGACCATCAAGCACTGCCAAACATTCATGGAAACAGCTCCCTTCCTCTCTTCTCCACACCCTAATCGTTGTATCCTCTGATCCGCTAAATATCAACTTCTCGATAGCCACTAAGCAAAGAACCGAAAACCGATGACCCTGTAAGAACCCGCCGTGGTTGAACCTACCGGACATTCTTTCTTTCTCCCAGAAGTTTACGGTGCCATCGGACGAACCCGAATAGAGAAAACAGTTGTTAGATGTCGAGCTTATTGCCATGGCGTTTACCGGTGATTGTTGAAATCTCAGTGTCATGGTTAGAGTGTGGGAGTTTTCTCTATATAACCTCCTCCATATCTTCACAGATCCATCAGAGGAACAAGTGAAAACGCACCCATCATCTTGGTTAACCACTATGGCATTGACCTTGCTTTCATGAACCACGAATGTGTCCACACATTTGTTATCTTGGAGCCGCCATGCCTTAACTGTTCTATCATATGAGCCAGTGTACAACAGCCCTTCGGCATGGTAATAAGCCATGCAAGAAACACAGTCTTTATGTTGTTGGCTGCTTGTCGTTGGGAACAAAAGAAATGAGCTTCTCTTAGGGAGTGTTGTGATCTTTTTGAACCCGAAATTATCTGAAACCGTGTAATTCCATATCCTGATCTTGCAGTCTCTATGTGCGGTGAAAAGCTTGTTACCAAAAGCCAAAATAGCTCGGATTTCACCGGAACTTGTCTTGATACAACCCCGCTCGGTGCAGTCAGACTGCCTCCATACACGAATACGTTTGCTGTCAGAACCGGTGAAAACCAATCCTTTTGAGATTGCGATAGAATGGATATTACCGTCCTCTCGATGAAGAGAAGCGATGCAGTGGTAGAGGAGAGAAGGCGATGGAGTTTGAAGAGGAGAGAGTGTCCATGATGTTTCAGGGCTACCAGGTGGCAACAATGAATCCATAGCAGCAGCACTCATTTGGGGACTCGAAGGTCTTCCGGGGCTGGACTGGAGGTCTTGGTCATACATATTTAGGTGAGTTCGAATCGAAAGCCTAGGAGGCGATTGAGTTGGATTGCTTTCGTTATCCATAATACAATGACCAGTTTTCCTGCCATAGAATTCCATGAGAGAAAAGAATGGGATATTGGTGGATTGAACTGAAAGCCTGCAAGAGCTAGGTAGAGATATACAAAGGGATGCATTGGCGGTGTAGTTACGAATTTAATTTGGTGAGTTGGGGTTAATTGGTATGGTCTCAATGACAACATTTAAGAAGAGAAGATACGGGAAGGAAGAAATGAGATACATAAATAAATTCAGTGATATTGATGAGATATTATGTGGTTCAAGACTAGCTTTGTTTCGAGGTTCATTTCTTTTTTCAGGCAATTTTCCTTTCCAAAAGACACTAATTGCAGTGAATGTGTTAGCTAAGAACTTCCGACCATCCACTCCATACCCAGTAAATTGTAAAAGCATGAGTGGTTACAGACCATTTTATCGCTGTTAAAAATGTTAGGTAACCATCTACTTGCTGTTCTTTAACTATACTGGTCAATAATAACTTGCCTGGCCAAAACAGGTAAAGGAAAACACTATGCAATTACCCTTTTACATCGGCGAATTGCTGGAATTAGAGTATTATATTGTAATAATTTCTTAAAGAATGACTTGTTTTTGCATTGTGGTAAATAGGTTAAATAATAGTTGTTGTAGTAGTTTACTGCATTTAAAATTGCGGTACGGCAAGCATTTCTGCTTTTTACCATGCACCTAAAAAACTGAGGGGAGGTGAAAAAATCAAACCAGCCAATTGAATTAAGAACAAGTAGTCTGTCCGAATACGTAACTATCATTAAAAGACCAATAAAAACCGATTGGTCAGAAAGGAAAATTTCTCTTTCATCAAACAATTGTAATAACAAGATCAAAACTTAGAAACAATAAGGATATCTTTACATCAAACTTCTAATACAATTTGGTCAGAAAGGTTGTGAAAGTGTATGGAAATGAGAGCTCAACCAAAACAACAATAGCTGATGCCGAAGTCCGGTGAAACATGAAATTCAACAAACCAGGGATTCCCCAATGTTGAGATTATGCGACTGAAAGTGATATAATGTCACCCAGCTTTAGATGAATCAATTGACTGCTGTTGCAAGTTCCTCCTGAAAAAACCAGACAATTTGGTGCTTGCAGCACGCACCGTTCTAGGCAGTAAAAATAATCATCCACTGGAGCACAGGTTTGAATAAGAAATATACTAGAATCAAATATAACATCACAGATGACTTAAGCCCAACTAATACTTCAAGAGGCCAAAAATAAATATCATAGTTACGACAACCTAAATCAATGCAAGAAAGACTTCAAAGGCAAGCGGTTCTATTTCAATGAAATTGGTATTTGCAATTCCCAAGTTCTTGATCCCGAATGAATACCAATAACAGTGATGCATTCAATTTATTTGACAGCAGCCTTTAATCTCCAAAAACATGACATTATTCACAATTACATGTGATTACACGGCCACTAAGTAAAATTAATTCAAAAAGGATAAGCTTATAGACAGCAATGAATACCTGACATTATACCGTGAGTAACAGATGTAATAATCCCATTTTCAATGGGTTCACCTTGCACACTTAGTGATCCTTCCGGATGGACTGAATGGACCGAGTTTGGGAAGATTAAATATACAAATGCCTTCATATTCTGTTATCATGAATGACGTGAATGTCAGGAAATAGGATTTAAACAACGAAAGCTAATGGTGTCAAAGTATAGCTTACAGTGCAGACTATTCGAACATAATTGGATATTCCCCCCTTTTGGAGGCTAGAAGTCTCACACATGAGGTAAATTCTACTTACAGAAGAAAATTATAATTAATTAATTAAGGAATTTTGTGATAACCTGCTCTTCTAGCTTGGTTGGGTCCAATACACCAAGCCCACTCCTCGCCACACAACAACATATTGAGACTGCAAAATCCAGCATAAGATCAGCAAGAAGTTAGGTACTCGGTATTGATGAAACGAGATATGAGCACGTCTTCATTGCTCACCAGCAAGATGCCCCATAGGAATCCCTGCATCTACAAGGGCCATGCATGCTGCATTAATGACACCTGGGAGAAGCTATATAGATAATATCAAGGATTACAATGATATCGACGTATCGTCAAGAAGATGCATAATATATCTACATACTAATTAAATCGTTTTGTGGGGATGGGTGCGGACTGTGGACATACAATCATTGAATCATAATTTAAGCAAAAGGTACTCAAATGAAATCTCTAGCATTAACACTCCATGCAGCAACATCATTGTCTCTCAAATTATAGTTTTCCCAATGTAGATTCTGGTTACATATCTCTAACAAGCACAAGCATTAGAATATAAACACTGGAAGCCTAAGCTTTGGAAAACTGAAACCTATGGAACAAAGAAATGAAACTGTAAAACAATATTATGGGAAATGCATAAAGAATACAGCACCATCATCATTCACAACCTGCCAGACAAAACATAAACTTGATCTATGAACAACTCAGCCATAAACAAGAGATACTTTTCACAGGTAGTTAACAAATAACCTACCTGGATTATAACTGATGTATTTGGATTAACAGTCAACATACAAATACTCTGCAGGGTTCTCTTCAATATCATTTCATATTCTTTTTCTAGTTTCCCTAAACACCAACGTACATTTTTCAAAAATTACCCCAGCTTAACAAACTTCAAATGCAAGAATAATTAAAAAGGATTTTAAAGAAAGCACCTATTTGTCCTGTTTTAGGTTTCCAAATAACTTCAATGCAAGCTTTTTCAGGGTTCTCATTCTTTTTAGTTCCACCTTTCGGCCCATAAACAGCAGCAAGGACTTTCGTATCTCCTAAATTAAAAAATAATCATATATGTAATCAAAATACTACAATTTCCCAACAGTTTACCCCTTTTTTCCCTAAATGAAGTACCTTGTGACCAACTGGCAGAGCCATGAGCTCGATGGAGAATATTACGAGAGCAGGAGAGAGGTCTCAACTGGTTCTGCGAGCGTCCGTCTTCCCTATCTACCTTCATTGCTCTCCCTCGCGCTCAATAAGCAAGCTTGTTTATCTCTAAATTTCCTTCAATTAATTAGGTTCAACTGCAAGAGAAAAAATTGTTGCTTGTGGAAAAGGGTTTTGGGTTAGGGTTTTTCAAATATGGCGTTTTTCATTGTAGCGGCAAAGTCAACGATGCCAATGGGTCGGGCTGTCAGAATAATAAACCGGGTCAAAAATATAGAGTATCAATTAACTTTTTTACTATAATAAAAATATTATATTTTATTTTAATTCATAATTATTATTCCTGTAAATATAAATATTTTCAATTATGTATATAATTAATTTGTACATCGTAATAAATAGAAAATTAATTTATAATTTATAACTGATTTAAAGTGCAAATTTGATACTAAACCATGTCAATATTAATTTTTTATTATATATTTATATTGATTGATATTTAGTATTATATTTTAACAATACAAATAAATTTATCATTTAATTTTAATGTGATTAAATATTATTATTAAAATTTTAATTTTATCGAACTTGACATCAACTTTTAATTAATATTAATTATAATAACTTGAAAATAAATTTTAACAAGAAAAACACTATTTCAAATATTAAGTTTTGATAGCTAAAAATAAGTTATTTTAAAATATTTTAAAATTATAATTAATTTAAACCTTTTATATATTTAAACAAACGTAGAATATTAATATACTTCATCTTCCATTATTTAGCTTAATTAAAAATAAGTATATAAATTATACATTTCGTTAATTTTAGGGGTTTAACTTATTTATTCAAAATAAGTGTTTAACATGTTCAACATTTCTATTTTAGGTGTCTACGTTATAACGGCCGTTAAAAAAAATATTATCTAACATGTGTTGTATTCATGACATTTAAAAAATTAAAAAAAAAACTTAAAATATTATTATTTTCAAAAAATCTAAAATTACTCTAAAATATCAATAAAAAATAAAAAAATCTCTAATTTTAATCTCCCTTATTATTGTCGTCGACCATCTCCAATCATTACCTTTGATGTCGAACAGTCACCCACCCATTGATCGACCATTACTCTTGTCATCACCTCAACCCTTAAATTCTCAGTCTTTAAACTTAATTCCTTAAAATCTTAAATATTTAATCCATAAACCCTAATCATACATGCGATGGTGGTTGCATTAGTGCTTGAAGCGTTGGCATAAAACAAACTCGGGGATTGAATCCTCTGTATGTGCTTGTTTATGCGACATAGATTTCACACATGATGTTGGGTTTCACACAATTGGTGAGCGTTTAATTTTTGGTCAGACTACAACGTTGGTGATGAAAAAAATAGGAATTTTAAGATCTTTTAATTCTCGACAAATTGGGATTCTTTTAAATATAAATTTAATTTTTTTTCAAATAAAAATTTAAATATATTGCACTTGTCAAATAATAATTTTGTTAAATATTGTAATGAATCATGCATCTAAAAAGATAACATTTTAAACATAGATATCTACTTTAACCCAAAAAAATAGGTATATAAAATTAACGGAAAATATAATTTATACACTTATTTTTTACGCTCGTTAAACCAACTTTGAATTAACATGAATTTGTAATAAAAATTTTCAATATAATTTGTAAATAACAATTTTTATATGCTAATGAAAAATTAGATTAACGTGAATCTATTTTTTATTTTCAAACATATTTAATCATATATAACTAAGATAAATGTAATATGAAACATATTACATATTGAAGATACTTAATTTCGTCCTTCAAATGTTATTATATTATAAATTAATTATTATTTATTTACAATTTATTTTTTTTTCAGGCCCAAATGGTGCCCCAAATACAAGTTCACATGCGTGGCCCGGCAGAATACCCCGATCCAACCCAGACCCCAAACACACACGCAGACAACGAGCTAGGGTTTTCAGAACCCTAGCATTCCAAGCGGCGTCGCACCACCCATGACCAAGACCTCCACAGCCGCACGTTACGACCCTCCAACAACCCGCAATCACTGCCATTTTCCTCGGCCACCACAACA